CTTTCCTCTGTTATCACCAGTTTCCAGCACTTGTAGACTCTGCTTTCCTCTGTTATCACCAGTTTCCAGCAAACGTCTCAGATGTGGGTTCACAGTTTCTCCTATGTGTAAACTTCTGTTTAGTAGCAATTAGGGTACTGTAGTAATGTTATGCTAAAATCACCAGTGACTATAGGTAATGTCATTTGCTCTTCTGTCAATCCTTATCAGTTTTGAAGGGTGCATGGAAAGATGTAGATTGATTCTACATTGGAAATCAAAAGTATATCTTATCATAATCATAGTCTTCCCTTTCCTCCACACCAGACCTTTCTGTGTAGCACAAATAACCAAAACTCAGAGACGGATATTGGGGTTCAACCTGAAGATAAGGAAAGCAAAGCAGCCTCTAGAGAGCTCTTACCTCTATGAAATCTTCAGACTGAAAGAGAGAGAGAGTTCCTGTCTCCTCTGCCTTATATTCCTCTCTAGTGCTGGGATTAAAGGCATGCACCCGCCCCAGCCTCTATGGCTGACTAATGTGGCTGGGATGAAAGGTGTGTGCCAGCACTGCCAGGCTTACATGGCTGACTGGTGTGGCTGCTTGCATTCTGATCTTCATTAAACAGAATGAACCGCCGCTACATTTCTGTAAGTTTTACTTTTGATCACAAACTCACATAATAGAATAGTGTCCATGCAGTCATTCTCATTCCTGACAGCTGGACAAAAGAGGACCACAGTGAATTATCCTAGGATTTTTGTAGCAAGGTATTATTTTATAAGCGATGTGCTAGTGTCTATGTGGGAAGATTAATTTGTCTTATTTCTAGAACATTAGACAACTGACCACTTGAATGGCAAGAGTCAAGAAAGGTAACCTAAATATCTCTGGGAAGCTGTATTCACCAATAACAAAATGCTGACTGAGGAACAAGGTAATGTTAACAGCAAAACCACTTAACTTGGACATCAATTCTTTCCGTCCACAAAAACACTGTGAGTGTGACTCAGAGCAAAATTCTAGCAGCATTTCAGAATTTGTTAGTAGGAAAAAATTCTCAAGAAAAAATCCTAATGAACCTGGGCAGTGGTGGCCTATGCCTTTAAAAACAGAATTTAGGAGGCAGGGGTAGGTGAATCTTTGAGTTTGAGGCCAGCCTGGTCTACAGAGTGAGTTCCAGGACAGCCAAAACAGCCAAGGCTACAAAGAGAAGCCCTGATTTGGGGGTGGGGGAGGAAAGAACATCAAAACACAAAATCATAATGAATCTAACGCCTATGGGAAAATGATTCCTCAACATTAAACGTGAGAAAATTCTTACTAGAGAGAAAAGTGAAGTTTTAAAAATAAGGCTACAAGCAATGTTCATGAAACACCCGGTCAACATGAAAAGGTCCAGGCTACAGAACAGATGTTTTAATACAATGTATGTCTGGGTGCCATCCTGGGAAAAAAAAGATGAGTAAGCCACAAAATAGGGAGAGCACAGAGCACACATGCTGTGAATCCAATAAACACGAGAGACTGTACTGTGCCGGCTCATCCCTTTTGTTCCTCAGACAGCTGTCTCTGAAGATAATCATTTGTGCATTAAGTCCACTGCTTCCAAACATGATGATATGCATTTGAAACACTGTGACCCTAATGAAGTTGAAAAAAAAATCAGGAGTAAATTTTCTCTGACAACTTCAGAAAACTCATAAAAATGAAAAATACAAAACAAAATTGGCCATATCAAGCCATGCTAAACAAGCATTGGATGATATTCCATACCCATGCATGAAAAAACCTCTCAAGCAACAGGTCTACAGCAAAGCAGCTTCAGTACAGCAAAGAGTTGGCTCCACTGCAGCTAGCATCATGCTTTCAAAAAGATATTCTCTCTCTCTTTCTCTCTCTCTCTCTGTCTCTGTCTCTGTCTCTCTCTCCCTCTGCTCTGTGTGTGTGTGTGTGTATACATGCTACAAAGGTACATGCCGGTGCCTGCAGAGGGCAGATGAGGGCCCTGGAGTTCAAGTTACAAGCAATTGTGAGCTGCCCAGTATGGGTACTGAGAACCAAACTCTGGTCCTTTGAAAGAGCAGCAAGAACTCTTAAGCACTGAGCTGTCTCTCCAGTCCCTGACCACCATACTCACTTACACAGAGATGCCTCCTCGCTCAAATCAGGAAGGATGCGAGGATGCTCTCTCATCTCTGCTTCTCAAAGTCCCATTAAAGGGAATAAAAGATGTAATTCTAAAAGACGCATTGGTCTTGAAGGTTTGAAGGGTTCTTACCAGCCCATCCAGCTGCCAGTTAAGTTGAGAGACAAAGTACTGAGGCAAGAAGGTAGAGAACTATTCTAAAACTTGGCTACAGGAGCCGAGGGCTCTCCTCAAAGCTGATGGGAGTGGTCTGGTGAGAGTGACCAGCAGAGATTCACATAGCAGCTACAATGGGTGATGCTCTTTTAATATATATTATGTAGGCCTGAGATGTTCCTGATATTTTTTGCAAGTTCTTGGAGGAAGGATTGTCATTTCTTCAAGCTATGTCTGTCACCAGTTTGCAAGTATTGTGTGATGGACAGGCCGGGGTAAAGCACGTGCCTTCCTGAGCGCCTCCTGCTGTTACATAAGTGTGAACCATCACACTGCAGACTCACCTGTCTTGCAGGGCATGAAACTCTGTTATACTTGGCCCAGGTCTCCCACTGTTAGAGGTCAAGGTTCTACAGTCTTGAGGGGTTCGTGTCAGTCCTTCTGACCTGATTATTTACTACTCGATGGGGAACCCACAAGGGGAAAAGGGAGCAATGGAGAGGGAGAATCCAACCTGATGGGACTTGAATATAGGCCTGTCTTCTAAACCTTATGTGATTTAGTAGTTAAAGAATTTAAAGGCAAAGTAAATGAGTGCCCTCTAAATAACACTTCTCAATTAAGAAGTAATTGGAATAAGCTGGAATTTTAGTTCCCAGTCCCATACCCCATGCCTACTCAGGTCCACATGGGGAATTAAAGCCCCACATGGTGAAACCAACTCATCTTAAACCACATCATATTCCAAACAATCTGAGAAGGCCTCAGGTCCAAAGACATCCTTGGGACAACTTATATTGTCTTCTTGCAGAGGAGGGTTGCTGACCAAACTGGGTGCCCCGATTCATCCACAGACTGTTTCTGTTCTCAAGAATACCTTGTCTGATGTATTGAAGCGAATCCCTGCCTCCCCAAACACTATTCTATGGAGGAGAATAACAGAACTAGGCTGAAGAGACAGCTCAGTTGAAAAGAGATCTGCATGAACACGAGGACCTGAGCTGGGACTCCAAGCACCCATGTAAACAGCCAGGCACGATGCACAACTACAACCTCAGAGCTTGCTCTTGATGTTTCTATTGCTCTGATAAAGCACCCCAGCCAAAAGCATCGTGGGGAGGAAAGGGTTCGTTCCTTCTTCCGGTTTACAGTCTTTTTATAAAGGGAAGTCAGGGCAGGAAATCAAGGCGGGAACCTAGAGGCAGGAACTGAAGCAGTGGTCATGAAGGAATACTGTTTACTGGTTTGTCTTTACTATACCTGGAAGGACCAGCTGCCCAGCGGTGGCATCATCTACAGTGGGCTGGGCCCTCTCATATCAATCATTAATAAAGAAAATGCTTTCCATAGACTTGTTTACAGACCAATCTGATTTGCTCAATTGAGGTCCCCTCTTCTCAGGTGACTAGCTTGTGTCAAATTGGGGCAGGAGGGTGAAGATGACTAATTTACACAGCACTAGAGGCCAGAAAGAGTCCTCAGAGCTCACTGGGGAGAGTGGGTCTGGATAAAGTAGCTTAAGGTTTACTGTGTGGTCCCATCGCAAAAAATAAAGGGGAGAAGGCAACTGAGGAAGACGCCTCTGCATCAACCGCTGATCTTCACAGACAAACATGCACATGTGAAAGAGGGACCAGCTCTCTCTAGTTACCAGAAAGAGCAATCGTTTTTCCAATACAAAAAAACAGTGTCCTTGTACTTGGAAGGGCATTAGAGAATTTGTGAGAATGTAAAATGGGAAGTTAGTTTATAGAACAATTTGGCAGTTAAATGTTGATTTGCCATTTAGTCCAGCAATTCTCCAGCAATATTCTCAACAAAATGTAATATCCAAACATAAACATCTGTACAGAAGTATTCCTAGTATTGTTTGTACTGGCTGGATGTATGGGACAACTTGACACAAGCTAGAGTTAGAGGAAGGAGCCTCTGCAGTAGATAGCAATTAGCAGAGAAGCCCTCAGCGGGCCAAGGTGAGACAATACTGGAGGTGGGGCAGCAATCTTCATGGAAGAGGGGGCAGAAAGACTCTAAGAGCCAGAGATGGTGAACACCAAAAGAAGTGTTTTCTGGGCACAATAGGGCAGTTGAACATATGAATTCCCAGCCATTGCTCTGGCACACTACAAGACCTTTGCGAGTTCAAGCCAGACAAAAATCCCAGCACAGAAAGAAGGTGGGCACAGAATTCCATTTTGAAGTTTCTTCCTATAAAAAGTTATTAAGATAATTGTGAAAATTGAAATAGATGCTGAAATTCCTGACTCTGATTATTCCACTACAGGTATGTGGAGACAGCTCCTTGTTTCTAAAAGACACATACTTGGGAATAAATGTGTCATGTTTGCCACTCGCAAGAGAAACATGCTCTTTTATACCCCTTAACTTGCATTTATTTTGAAAGAGGACGAGAAGGGGAAGGACAAAACCCAATGCTTACATTTGGGAAAAGAGTGGCAATAACCAAGATTTATTTGTACTATTCTTTAAAAAATTTCTATGGTGTTCCAATTACCGAAACAGAACATTTACAAGCCCCCGAACACACGTACAAAGGAATACTAACTGGACTCAATAGGGTGGTGCATTTTCACATGTGTATATGTATATAAAAACAACAAAGAGGCCATGAATTTGAGAGGGAGTTGGGAGGGACACAGGAGGAGCTGGAGGGAGAGGGAAGGGTGGAAATGATAGAAATATAGCACTCATGTATGAAATTCTCAAAATTTTTATTTATCAAAATATAAAAATAATTAAAAATATTATCAACCATTTACAACTCATTAAGTAAAATGAAGAACCATTAGTCCACATGGATACTAGTAACTGAATATATTTTAAGTTTGATGAGAAACAGATATTTACAGTCACAAATTACTTCCCCATAAAACAATTATTACAAAAGTAAATATAGGGAAAAAACACAGCAGATAATTGCTTTAGTGATCAAAATCAACATCATAATTTTAGGGAAAGTCTAAATTAGAGATTACCTAATAGGACAAAATGAGAAAATTTTCATCTGTAATACTCTTGCCAAGAAATGCATGATTTAATCATAACGAAGCAGAAAATTCAATTCAAGGGCATTACATGAATTCTACCATGAAGATTTAAGGTCATGAAAAGCAAGGAAAGACTGGGCAATGTTCCAGGCTGAAGGGGTCTAGGAAATGTGAGTAACTGGAATCCAGGAGTCTGAAGGGGCAGTTTTTGTTAAAGGACACTGTAGTCAAGACGTCAAACTGGAAAAGAATCTGAGGATTAAATGCAGGTGTATTAGTGTCAGCCGGCTCATTACAAAGGTGACACCAAAGTTATTCAGGTGCTGTTAATTACAAAAATACTAAAATAGTCAAGGACAGTGGGAGATGGCAGCAAGGCTCTTTCAAATGGTCGAGTGGGGTGGGTGGGCACAATTCTTTGACACTTTGCCTAATTTTAAGACTGCTTAGGAGACCATCAAAGACGAACAAGAACTACAAATCAGGGCTTAAAATTGAAGCCAGGTTTGACAGTGATCGGCAGCTGTAATACATTAAAACGTTGACAATGCTGACAGCAGCGGCAGACCAAAGTGACAAAACCAGAAAAGTATCAACACAAAGACGGCACTTCTTCCCACCAGAGTACTTAGTGAGAAACCGGCTCTTAGGGGGTTTTGTATGTAAAACCTGGTAATACTGGTTTAATAATACTTGCAAAATCTGCTAAAACCACCAAAAAACCCCATGTAAACATATTAATTTTCTAATACACATGACAAAAAAGTTTTCTTCACTTTTGTTTTCAAGTCATACATTTAATAGGACAATTAAAATATATAAAGTCTAATAAATATATTATATTTTAGACCATATGTAATAATATATATTATTTGTACAAAATTGTAGGTTTCATTATGACCTTCTTTCTCTGTGTGAGACTTGTATCCCTGGCTGTCCCTGAACTCGGGAGACCTGCCTGCTCTGCTTCTCAAGTGCTGGGGCTGAAGCTGTGTGCCCTCACACACACACAGTGCACGCCCCTTTATCTTCTCAGGTCCTCTCTTCCTCTGGTCCTTCTTCCAAACAGTCCCGATTCTATTGTTATATGCCTTTTCTTTCTTCCTTTTTTTTAAATTCAGCAGATTGTATATTTTTTCTTTAAAATGTCTATATATTCTTGTGATGCTTCTGAGAGTAGATCTTGACCTGGTTTAGTAGCAGATCCAAGGGGAGAAACTCTGCAGAACTCAGATTCAAGCTCGGCAGCAGCTGGAAAGAAAGGGTTATATATCTAAATGCCTATCAGAGACTTCCCAGTTAGTCAAACCCATGCCAGCTGAAGAGTTGAAACTGAACTGGCAGTGTGTATGCGTGACTAGAGTGCACAATCATAACTAAGTTTGACTGCTCACACGTGCACACTTACTATCTCACTGTGAATATCGAAGTGTCTGGGCTGACTCATTTACTCAACAATCGTGCAAAGATAGTGTAACAAGCACAGGAATGATAAGATGAAATGATATAGTCCACTCCCAACAATCACGTGCAGATTATATCACAGAGCCATAGTACTGAAAACAGCATGGCACAGCACACAAACAGGTATGTAGAGGGGTGCAGCAGAAGGCCACATATTTATAGCTACCTGATATTTGACAAGATAACAAAAATATACACTGCAGGAGAAAGAAACATCTTTAACAAAGGGTGATGAGAAACGGATGTCCACAAATGGAAGAACGAAACTAGACTGGTCTCTATCGCCCTGCACAACAACAACTTCAAATGGGTAAAAGACTTCAGTGTAAAACCTGACAGCTGGAAGAAAACAGAGGTAGTACTGGACAAGATACACACTCGCAGGAAAGGACTTTCTGAATAGGATTCAATTTGCTTAGGAACAACTGACAAACTGGGCCTCTTCCATACAGCACTGGAAACAATCAAGTAAGGAGGAAACCTGCGTAACAGGAGAGAATCTTAGTGTGTAGCTGGTAGAGGATTACTGGAGAGTCAAGAAAACCAATCTCAAAAAAGGAACTAAACTCAGGAAAGTATAAAGGGAGCACATGTTGGTGTGGGGAAGGTTGAAAGAACAGCAGGATACAGGGGATAGAAGTAGGAAATGGAATATCAGGGAGGGGCGCCAACTGGGGAGGAGGAAGAAGGTCAATACAGGAGAGGGACAAACACCAAGGTTGGTTGATAAAACCTCAAGGTAGCATATTATATTTACCAGTGTGTGTGTGTGTGTGTGTGTGTGTGTAAAATCTTAAAGGAAGGTATGTCACTAAGGCTGACAGTAACTCCGGTAACAGTCACGAGAAATCTCCTTTGGAATGGTCAGCCAATGGTTGGTTTGTCCAGGTGACTCTCAAAACAACACAGACCACTGATGTAGCCCTTGGTTACCTCTTGGAAGTTGAAGTAAGCCCACATTGCTAAAGACACTGAAAACTTAGGACAAAGGACTAGATGAATTGAACTGGATCTGACCGGAAAGCTTCCTACCTGAGGCCAGCTCTTAGTATCGGAAGATATTATGTAAGCTGCCAAGGGAGGAAAGTTGTCAACATCTCTACTTGGCTGGAAAACCCAAGAACCACAACAGTTGCACAGCTGGACAGGTCACAGACCTTCGAGGAGAACCCTTTACTACCACATATTAAGAAGATACAGTCTCCAAGAGCCTTGTAAACGTCTAACTCTTTATGTCCACTGATATATGTAGCTCTCATCTGTCATAAAGATGTCTCTGTGCAGCACAAGGAGGCTATCACAGACCCACCCCTGGTCAAAACGCAAACAATAAGTGACTATGTGGTACCTTAGCCCTAGAGAGAACATCTGTCACAACTCCTACCCCCAGCGCTCAGGGAATCACGGAAGAGAAGGTGGGAAGAAGGTAAAGCCTAGGGTCCTGACACCCGCTGTGACATGTCCTCTGCATCCATAAATTCCCAACAACATGGTAACCTCCACCAGCTGGCATGCCTACAAGGATGAAGAAAATCCACAAAGGCCCTGTCCTTATTTTATTTTTTCCTGGTCAAATTGACACAATTTATCTGGGAACTACAATTGAGAAAATGCCCCCATCATACTGCCCTATGCAAATCTATGGGGCATTTTCTTGATTAATGACTCAATGTGCATGGTGCTACTGTGGGCAAGTGGCTCTGACCTGTGTAAGAAAGAAGGACGGTCAGTAAGCAGCCTTCCTCCATGGTTTCTGCTTCAGTTTCTGACTCCAGGTTCCTGACTTGCCTCAGTGATAGAAGTGAAAGATGAAAAAAACCCTTTCCTCCCCAAGTTGCCTTTGGTCATGGTCTTTACACAGCAAGAGAAACCCTACCTAAGACAGTCCTACCCTGAGATGAAGAGCTAGGAATCAGTCTTTTTCAAGGACGAGAGCTCATTCTTAAGTGGTTAGTTCTAAACACAGGCAAATACAGGCAACACTAATTGGGCCTCTAGGTTGCATATATCAGAAGAAGAGGTCATGAACTTGAGAGGCGGTGGGGAGCATGGGTGGAGTCACAGTGCAGAGGGAGGTGGGAATGATGCTAATACAGTGTACTTAAATATGAAATTCTCAAAGATAAATGAAACAAACATTTGCTGCATTAAACCATGAAAGGAATATCTTCACATCTTTAATTTTGTGTAAGACAATGATTAATTTAAAAAAATCTATTCAATAAACAAGAAAAATGATGTCACTTAATATTTATAATTTATTTCAGAAATTAGTCAATCTAAACTTAATTCATCAATTTTGGTACATACCTTCTTTAAGTTCTCTATTTATACTTTTTTCCAACTCCTGGTGCATCTGAAATGAGTTGAACATTTATAATGTTTAATAAAATGGAACATTTTTAACTTAGAAATTAATCTTATGGAATGTTACATTTATTTAATTAGTAAGTAGTATCTGCATCAGAATCCTTTAGATCATAAATATCCACATGTAGGTATTTGGATGTTACCCATTCTCTTGTCATTCGAACAGAAAGTTCAGGACACTGCAGAAAAATTGTCATAAGAAGGTGTATGGTCACATTTTAAGCTATAGCTGTAGTCACAACCACATTTAATTTCCAAAACCTAATGTAAGCATTCCTTTTAAGGAAATGGACTGCCTTAGCTGAAGAGTCCAAGAATAAGAATATAAAAATGTAGATTCCAGAAATAAGAACATAAAAATAAAAAATATAAAGTTGTAAGCCTAGGAGAATGAGAACAGACTGTCAGCAGCTTTCTCAACAGCTTAAGGATTAACTATGAACAGGGTTACTCCGCTTTACAGCTCATAGCTCTATTTGCAAGGCTGAAGCGGCCTCTGCAAACTTAGGGTGGCTCTGCAAACTGAGGATCAGCCTTTAGATACCCCGGGCCACTCATGACCAGCCACTGATGTGAGCTGAGGTAACTTTTAAATGACAGGAGGGTCGTGACGTCTGACTTTTTGGTTGTGCATCTTCCCGTACCCTTTCCTGCCAGGGAAAACAATGGACTAGATACGAACACTAGTTTAACTGAAAAACTCTGTTAATGGAAGTTGCAAAGAAGGGCAATCTGTGTCTAAGTTTCACCTCAAGATTGTAAAAATCCCTTTGTTATTGCCTAATGCTTGTTGCTTCTTAATATAAAAAGGTGGTGTTCAAAAGCTGGCCTTTGCCACAGCCTTACAAGTCCATCTCTGGCTGTGGTCTCAGCCAGCTGATAAGCTTTTTGTGCACCATGGAAATTTATTTTTTTAATTTTTAATTTTTTTTCCTGGAATAAAGTTTGCTTCAGGTTTATTAGATTTGGTGGTCTGTCCCCATCTTTGCGTGACCCCCGTGGGCCCAACATTAGCTGCATTCCCTGAACCAGGGAGCAGCTGCTGAAATGAAAGCTCTAGGAACTTCAGTGACTTTTCTCCTTTAGCAAAATTACTATGACATTAGTGTGCACAGGCCAACAAAACAACTCAGGATCATGCATTAAATTAAAAGTGAGAATTTTATCAGAAACTTGAAACCAAAAGGAAAAACGAAATATACTAACCTTGGTCAGGTAGATTTCCATTCTTTTATTTGATGGCTGTAGGCTTGAGGAAGGAATCACTATGTTTTCTCTTGGAATAAGAGTTCTGTTGAATACCAAACTATTATGAAGACCTCCAACGCAAGGACACTCTACAATAGGCCTTGTACTGAGAGAGCTTAGCAGCGATCTGTTCTGCTGTTCCTCCAGGAGCAGCTTCGTGCTGGCCTCCTCCAGCCTCTCATTAGTCCTGTGAAGTCCACAAAAGGCCAATGCTTAGTGTCTCACAGTCCCAGATTGAGTCCTGAGTAAGGGCTGTTTAAAAAGCTGTCATGGGAATACATGCCATTTGCACCTCAACAGGGACTTAGCATGAAAAACCTGTCAGAACGTAAATGCTGAATATTACAGGTTTTAAATTATTCTAAAACGTGCAGGTACTTCTAGAGGGACTCTTTTTTTTTTGGAGACAGATTTTCTCTGTAGTTTTGGAGCCTGCTCTGTAGACCCCAGGCTGGCCTTGAACTCACAGACGTCCTCCTGCCTCTGCCTCCTGAGATTAAAGGCATGCACCACTATCACTACCACCAGGCAAATATTTTTTTATTTTACATACCAATCCAAGTTCCCTCCCCCTTTCCTCCTTCACCACCTTTTCCCATCCACTTTTCAGAGAGGGTGAGGCCTCCCATGGGGAGTCAATAAAGTCTCCCAAATCATTTGAGGCAGGACCAAGACCCTCCCCCCTGTATCTAGAGGGATATTTAACTATCAAGTAATTCTGACAAAGTAGGAGGGAGAGACACGGCTGTTGAGATGTAACCGGTGACAGTTGCCTTCTGGAAGGGCTCTGCTTCCTGGCATCCTGAGGGTGTCATCAGAAACACCCTGTTAAGTGCTCACTGGGAGATGACTGGAGGATCGGCTTCCCTGTGTATAACTGAAACCTTTCACTCCCCCACGAGATGTTTACGTATTTGCTTCCATTACTCAGGATAAACTGAGCACCTGACACCAAGGACTAACTCGGAGCAGCACCAGGAATGCGGCGCTGGGCTGCTGCTTCTGTTCTGCCGTAACACTTCCCTGCATCACTCGACACAGACTAGAAAATCTCTCCATCAGTTTGTTCACAGGAACCTCTAACGGAAACACTAAAGATGACAATCAAAGAAAACTAAGCTATCAAATGCTGAAAGTGCCCAAAGGAGGAATATCGATAGTACCCTTGGGACTACATTGTCTTCTTCCCAAAAGAAAACATCACCAAGTCTGTGAACAGTCCTATTTAAAGGATGTGGAAATATAATTGTATAACAATATAACTGTCTTAACTATAAAGCTTCAAAAACATCTTTCCGGAAGCCCAACAGACCATATCAACTAAGACTAAAATGACAAAGAAGAATATAAACTATGCCCAAGTAACATTTGGGGGTCACCGCCAACATTCCTTCTAGACACGTGTTGCTAGTTAGCACTCCCAGTCTCCCAGTCTTACTGAAAATGTTGCTGCCGAGACAGAGCAGTGAGCTGATTTCCTGAGTGCCAACGTCATGACTTACTTGTTCAGTTTACTTGACAACGATTTTCTAACTCGGAGTTCTTCTTGGTAGAGTTGCTTGTATTTTTCTAGTTCTATTTTATCGAAGTCTTCCTGACTTTTCATTCTGGAGAGCTGGGACTCCAGGTCTTTAATCCGGAGCTCCATCTGACTCCTCACTGAAGCGTTACTGCTCTCCCTCAACTGCTCCAGGTTTTCCTGAGAGGCTGCCTGTGCCTGCAGCAAGCCGGAAGAATGTGCTTTAGGAGTAATTACAAGCCAGTCATTATTCACATGCAAACGAGTGCTGACACTCATCGACTGCATTCCATGTGAACTACAACACACTCAATCTTCATCTTCTCGTTTGTTTTAGTGCTGGGAGTCCAATCCAGGGCCTGGTGCGTGCTAACTGAGCCTGTTACCAATGTGGCGTATCCCCCGTTCTGTATGATAGTACACAAATAATGTGAGAATTCAAGGAACAATAGAATAAGCTCCCAAGTTTAAATCTGGAACTAGATAACTTAACAACTCAAGAGTTTGGTACACTTTGCGCATCAATTTGTTTTCCTTCTAGCAATCTGTTTTATACGAAATAGCTTTAAAAGTCAAATGATTCTCCAATGAGAGATCACGAGTTATAATAATGAAGGACACTCGAACACAGGACACACATGTCCTCGTCTCTCTAGAACCCTGGGGAACAAACCAGAGCAAACACACTATGCACACAGCCAGAACGCATCTGCAGGGAGATGAACCGCACCCATCACAGAAACAGAAACTAACCTGCAGGAAGAGGTTGACCTGTTTTAACTTCTCCACCAAGTCCTGCCTCGCTTGCTCTTCGACCTCCCGCCTATACTGCTGCACCTGACTGTGCTCCACCATATTCTTCTCCATGTGACTTCTGAGGCTTTCTACTTCTTGCTCCAGTTTCCTTTTGTTCTTCTCTAGTTTCACACACTTCTTCTGTATGGTTTTCATCAACAGCAACTCCTGCTGAAGAACCTGATTTTTTCTACCCAAATGTAGACATTTTGAAGATGTGGTTTCCAGTTTTGATGTAAGATCATCAATCTGCAGGAATAAAGTGATACAGTTTGGTAATGAAGAAGGCTGAGAAAATGGCAGCATAAAACCAATCACCAATTTTACCTAAGCTCAGTTGTAATTAACCTGCAATGACTCTTATAATGATGTTTCTTCTTTCTTTTTGGTCTCTCAAGACAGGGTTTTTCTGTGTAGACCTGGCTCTCCTGGAACTCCCTCTGTAGGGAGGCTGGCCTCGAACTCAGAGACCTGCCTGCCTCTGCCTCCTGAGTACTGAGATTAAAAGCATGTGCCCAGTTCATAACGGGGTTTCTAATTACTCGGAAGATAAAGTCAGAGGAGAGTAGCAGTCATAAAACACGCTCCTTAGGACCAGTATTTTGCTAAGCACCACAGCACTCAGGTTAGATGGTTTTCATGGGACTGTCTCCCATCTTTCCTTCTCAAAATGACTCTAGCTCCTTTTGGAAAATCTGCATGGTGGTCCAGTGTGGCTTCGAACAGCAATTCTCCCGCCTCAGCTTACGTAAGCGCTGGGACCAGAGGTGATACCACAGTGCCAGGCTCCTGCACTCTCTACTGAGCCATGAAGTTTTACTTTGTTTTCTGTGCCAAGAAAATGAATCCTAAGAACCAGATACTAGGTTGAGAGAGGATTAGCTGGGACTGGTGGACTGCAGTCCCAGGGCTCAGGAGACTGAGGAGGGAGGACTTTGAGTTCAAGGCTAGCCTTGGCTACATGGCAAGCTCCTAAAGGAAAGATGAAAGGAAAGAAACAGAGAGAATTTGAATCTAAACTCCAAAATCAGCCCCATTCCCAGTGAGAAAAACCAGAAGCTCACGCTTCTTTCTCGTTGGTAAAGGTCCTCAGGTGATCTTATAGCTGTAGTAATGAAAGCCAGAGCAGCGAGTGTCAATGTGCTGAGCTGGCAGGTCCCGTGCCCGAGATTAGAGGCAGATGGAGGGGAGGGAGGCGCACTGGGAAAGAAGTCAAAAGCTTCAATTAAGAAAGAAAATGAACGAACCCTATCTTTACAAGTCTACCTTCATTGTGTCATGGCATCGGCAAGGCAGAAAATGGGCACAGGCTTCTTCTAGACGTGAAGCAAAGTTTCCACGGGAGTGAAACTAAAGCCCCTACTATGCTGCCGTTTGCTATTACCTAAGGCATGGAGCGATATGCAGCCTGCCTGGGAAGTTCTCCCTTGAGAACCCACTTGACTTGGTACTGGCCTAGGAAAGGCATGTAAAACAGCGGGAAACAAGTGCTACTAAGGCCATGGAGAAACTCCCCCAACAGTGCAGGTGACACAGTGCGGCCACTCGGGAAGTACACTGGCAGGGGCAGCTGCTGCCCGATCAGCAGTTTCCACATGACGCCTCAGTTCCTGAGAACTCAAGGAAAAGTGAAAACAGATGCAGGCTATACTTGCCATAGCGATGTTATTAGTACCTGACCAAAGTGGAAGCAATAAGGGATGAAGAGCTAAATCTAATGTGTGTTCTCTCATATGATAGGGCAAGTCTCAGCAACAAGAAGACATTATGTGCAGATGCTTGCTACCACACAGGTGGACTTAACACTGTGTTAAGTCAAAGGAGCCAGCACACACTGACACAGAACGCCAGAACAGGGAGCTATAGGGACAAAGCAAGAAATATTCTTAAGTGATAGAGACTGCACAATTCTATGGATATAATATAGGTGGGATATGTTTACTATATCCCAATAAAGCTGCTACCAACAATCAATCAATAAAAAAAGACTTGGGACTCATGATTTAGGATCACATAATGATGGATTGCAGCCTGGGTTCAAGATTTAAGATCAACAGTACGACTTTTAAATAGAAAATAATACAATTTTCATTAACATCATGTTCATAAAATGAAACAATATAAAACTTCAATGTATCCAGAGATTTATATTACTTAAAATTATTTTTGGGCCCCAAAACTGATTAAAAATTACCTTTTTTATTAGCATATTAACTGGGATATCCATTTCAAATTGACTGTTTTTTATATCTTGATGGAGATTAAGTTCTCTGTTTTCATGTTCACTTAATTCTTTTTTGGTCTTTTTTAAGAGTTCCTTAAATCTGCAAAAGTAAGTGAAGTCTTTTAAGAGTACGTTCAACAGTTATTAAACACACACTAAGTTCTAGCATTCAACAGAGATACATTTGTAAACTGTGACCCTCTCATGTGTACAAAAGTTTATGCTATGTATAGAAGATAGAGCTAATATAACTACAGAATACCTGTAATTATTTATATCCACTTTAGTATATTAGTATAAAGCACTCTTACATATTAGTTGTAACCAAGGAGAAGACATGAATACTCTTTGCTGCCTGTCTGCAGTCTTCTCCAAGGCAAAGCACAAGTCAGCACTGAGGATGTAGCAGAGAGTTTTAGCATCCAATCCCAACAAGTATCAAGGAGATTAGCCAAGGCAGAAAAAAGTGAGATGGGAAAACCAGTTTGTGCAGTTTGAGTAGAGGGAAAACAAAATAGAATGTCAAAGAAAATAGCATATGAAGGCTCAGAGAGATGAGAAGAAATCTAGAAGTCTTGGACAGGAATATCAACAAAATCCAAGAAATGCGAAACTACATTCAGAGAGAGCACAGGGGTGCACACGACACTCAGTGATGGAACTCTAGTGCAGTGTATGCAAGGCCCTGGGGCCCCTCTCTAGCACCCATCCTTTCATATAACCGACACACACAAGACAGTTAAATAAGAAAAAAAAAGTACTGATTAGAATCAGAGAGAAAACTCAAAATCTGTTCTGAACGAACAGAAAAGCAACCATGCTGGTGGCTGCAAAGACTGGAAACTATGTCACTGTAAAAGACGGGTGACATGGGGACCAAAGCAGCAAGCACTGGGCTTGCATGGTCTGCACCAGGCCCTCTGTGTAATACCACAGCTTTCAGTTTAATATTTTCATGGGGCTCCTGAGTGCGTGAAAGAGTGGGTCTCTGATTCTTGTGCCTTCTCTTGGGCTCTTGCCAACTTTGATGTGATGGTATTTGTTTTATCTTACTATATTTTATTTTGTTACACATTGTTGTTATTTCTTAGAAGTCTGTTCTTTTCTAACGACAGACAAAAGGGAGTGGATCGGATTGGGAGGGGAAGGTGGGAAAGAATTGGGAGGAGTAGAGGGAGGGGAAACTGTAATCAGGATATAGGATATGAGAAAAGACTCTGTTTTCAATAAAGGGGGCTGGTAACAGAAACACAAATGCTCACTTCACTGTATTTAAGTCATTTGTCTACGGCTGTAAGCATAAGACATACAGTCAGCTCTCTGTACTTGTGGGTTCCACATCTAAAAAACTTTGCCTGGAAAATTCTGAAAAAGGAAAAACTGCACTTACACCGAACACACGCAAATCCTTGTCCTTTTCCTTATTCCCCAAACAACATAGTATTTCAATTGCTTAATTAACATTTACACTTTATTTGGAATTTGAAGTGATTTAGAGAAGAAAACAGTATATTGGAGGTTGAGAACAGGTTAAATGCAAATAGTACACTATTTAAGGGTGTGCGAATCCACGGGTTCTGCCATCTGAAGGAGTCCTAGACTCCATCTCCTACACGTACCATAGCAGAGACTTACTGGTGTACAAAAAGCCCTGCCTCCTCATTTAGGCCGGTGGATGTCCAATGGGAAACTTAAAGCACACACAAGCTTGGCCTTTGTTCTTAATCCTTTTTCGACCCTGAAATGTGAATCACATTCTTGCTCAAATCTGAGGACCTACTAGTCATTTAAGAGGAGTTTACCTACAGCTAGCTGGAAATCCTCCTTCTTTAAGACTAAAGACACAAAGATACGAGTAATAAGATATTTTTAAGGTGTTCAGGGACAAGATAATTAGCAGACTGTCAAATATCAACGTTTACAGTGTCACATTCCATGCCACTGGCGTGACACCTGAAATCTCGCCACTACTCTGAACCCCTGAACCCATCTTCCCTTGCAGACTTGACCTCTTCTCTGATTCACCGCAGTGAGCCTGGATTCTAGGATAGCAGACATTATCCAGAAACACCACGGCAACAATTAAAGCTATTTCTAGACAGCAGCCACCTTACTGATAAGAATCCCCAAGGGACCCATCAGGAAATAACATGTACACATTCCTCTAAAACAATCCGGGCTGGTGCTCTTCTCTGTGTCCTGAGTGCAGGGTACCCCAACTTTCCCCAGTATTAGTATTCCAAACAAACTCCTGCCCTGTGGTCACTGTTGTTTTTTTAACCTTTTAATCAGCTGGAAAGAGGAGCTAAGCTGGCCTCTTGGGGACCCCCAGCGTCAGGCCTCTGTCTAGATTCCGGTAGCAGTACCAAGGGATGACTATATAGTATTACGTATGTGTGCGTATGCATTTAAAATTGTTTAAATAGAAGCTCAATATCATGTTAACCTTATATACATATTAGAGATGCCCATGGAACAACAATTTATCTCCATGATAAACTTTTGTAATTAAAAAGAGAAAGAAAATGTTATATAAAGATAGTTTCTGATATAGTTAAAGAAAAACACAAATAGGTTTTTAAGATATCAAAATGTCTAAATGGTGAAGGGAAGGATACTACAAAGGCAGGAAAAAGATCAAAAGCGTGTTCAAAAATGAAACTTCAGCTAGGTGGCGGTGGTGCACACCTTTAATCCCAGCATTCAGGAGGCAGAGGCAGGTGGATCTTGTTAGTTCAAGGCTAGCCTGCTCTACAGAGTGAGTTTCAAGACAGCCAGAGCTACACACAAAAAAACTCTGCCTCAGAATACCAAAAATAAAAATATAAAAATAAAAAAGAAAGAAACTTCAAGGTTGAAGAGTTCAGTTGACATTATATGCCAAAAGCATTTACCATTGTCTTAAGAAAATTTAAAGAGTAATTGCAATATTTTAGCAATCAAAAAACTTTAGTCTTTACCAATATGTTTCTGAGGTAAATTTTAAAGTAATAATGAGAATGCAGATAGGAAATGCATTTGTATTTAGGCTTCAGTTAAAGCAATAGAGAAAGGCCGAGGAGACTGAAATATTAAACCTTACTCCCTCAGTTCTTCCTCTAATGCATCGTTTCTCTTCTGTTCCTGCTCCAAAGTACACTCCAGAGATTCCTTCACCTCAGCAAGTTTCTTCAGTTTTTCTTTGTCATCTTCAGACTTTGAAAATAATTTTGAAAGAAAATAATTAGTAAAGGATTATTTCTTTTGTGTGACTGTTAGGGGTGGTGTGTGTGTGTGTGTGTGTCTCACCATGTGAGTCCCAGGGAACCCCTCAGGTTGTCTGGCTACCTGGACAAGTGCCTTTTTCTGATGAGCCATCTCACTGGTCCCAAGAAAAGAATTTTAAAATCTAAAGCCCAATTCTTTAAAAAAGTATATTATCCTGCAGGAGTCCATGCATATTGTGTTTATACAGATCTATAAACCGGATACCAATGTGTACTACATTGGTTAATTTTGACTGTCAACTTGACTGCATAAAGAGCTAACCAGGGATTAGTGAATCTGAGTGTATCTGTGATGACCTGCCAGAGACAATCAACTCAAACTATGAAGGCTACATCAGGTGGTGATAAGAAGAGAGAAGAGGGTCAGGACAGGTATGTCTCGGAGGCCCTATCTCGCCATGACCTCTTCTTGTCTGCCCCTTGCTCTGTGTTCACGTGCTCTGACTGCCATGATGTTCTGCTTACAACTGGCCCAGAAACACGGAGTCAAGTAACCACAGGCTACACTCTCTGAAACAGATTTGTGCATGCCAAGCATCTGGTCACAGAAGGCATAAAAGGAACACGAAGACAGATATTTGATACAGCTCAAACCAAGTTATGCTTTCATCATTATCCTCTCTGGAATTTCAGCTGCCAATTATTTTAAATAAGTTTTTATACATAAGTGTACCATGAATAACTAGAGAAGTTAGAGGCTACTGACTGGATTGGCTAAAAGTAGTCTCTCAGCAATTTTTGTTTATATTTATTTATTTGGGGTGTGTGTGTGTGTGTGTGTGTGTGTGTGTGTGTGTACAGCGTTCAGGAGTTAGTTCTCTCCTTTTACCATACAGAGATTCCAGGGAGCAAACTCAGGCTAGGCTTGGAGCCCAGGCGTATACCTGCCGAGTTCATCACGCAGTTCTTAGGTTTGTTTGTTGTCAGTTTGCTTTATTTTGCTTGTTTTAAAGTTTTTCAGAGAGACCAATGGTTATCCTAGGCTAGCTTGAAACTGACTAAGCAGCCCAAGCTGGCTTTAAACTTTTGGCAATCCTCCACCTTCAGTCTCCAAAATGCTGGGATTACAAGTCTTTCCCTCCATCAAAGAAAATAAAGAAAACATAAACTAGGCATAATGGCACACACCTTTAATCCCTGCACCTGAGAGGCAGAGGCAGGCAGATCTCTGTGAGTTCAAGACTAGCTTGGTCTACAGAGGGAGTTTAGGACACCCAGGGCTACATAGTGAGGCCCTGTCTCAAAAAAACAAAACAAGTCAGGCAGTGGTGGCACAGGCCTTTAATCCCAGTACTTAAGAGACAGAAACAGGTAGAGCTCTGAGTTAGAAGCCAGCCTGGTCTACAGAAGTAGTCGGTTCCAGGAAAGCCAGGCCTGTTACACAGAGAAACCCTGCCTCAAATCAATCAATCAATCAAAAAACAAAAAGAACTCCATAAAACAAATTTAAATTTGTATTCTTAATACATTTCTTTACAGCTCCTATATAGCAGGATTTCTTTCAACAGTTTCATTTTTGTAGATTCCCCATCAACATATTATCATGTTAGGAAATATTAAATTAGGAAATAAAATTGGATAGTTTATATGAAATCTAGATAGAAACTACTTTTTGACATTTCTTTGGCCCCAGAAAGAAGAATCAACATAAATAATCTAGACTACCTGGCCCATGGCCCTTGGGATGGACCGCACAGTATTGAAGTCAGTAGTGAGAGTGACTTGGATTGGGTGTCCAATGCATCTACCTTGTGATCTTTTCTAGCATTAACTTTGCTTTGTTTTTGGTTTTATTTTGTTTTAATTCAAAGTGGAAAAGAGTTCAGTGGGGGTGGGGGACGGGGCACTTGTATCATGATTTAGTATCCATTTTTGATTAATACAAATTATAAGTGATTCATTTTCAAAATCTCAGTGAAAGTCTTTGATTACTAAAAAAAAAATCAGAAGACTAGATCAAATCACTTAAATTTCTTAGAATTTAAAAATGACTGTAAAGTACGAGTTTGGCAACACTGTCAATGTCCATAGTAATATTACATCCATTAACCAAAGGTCCATCAATGGACGGATGTGTAAACAAGGTGTGGTATGTATAAAGCATTAGTCCTGAAATCATTAATTCACGAACTCAGCCAACTTCCCTATAGAGAGAAGGACTTGCATGTGAGGGGCAAACAGTGGGCATAGAACACAACACCGAGACTTTGCACACTGCCCACCGTGTTCAGTTACTACAGAGGACTGTCTTCTATGTCCCCATGGGGCAACTACAGGGCAGAGAGACCATCCGTTCTTAACATCAGAGAATCCAGGAAGAGAATCACTTACCAAATTCACACTTGACAGGTTTTCCTGAAGTTGCTCAATTTTATCCGACTGGTTTTTTATTGTAATTTTAAAGTTGGAGTTTTCAAGTTCAAGCCTAAAATTGTATTTTAAAATAATTATATTTATGAAGCAATTAAAAAAAATCACATATTTTCTGAAAATCAATTGAGTCACTATATAAATTCTTAAGGGTCTGAAACGCAAATGATTGGGTTACTATAACTTCTCTAGGTGTGGATCAGGAGTCAAACCCAGATCCTCATGCACAGGCAACCCCCCTAACTGCATCCCTACTCAAAGGTGTGCACTCCAGGGAACCTAGAGGTGAGACGGGCCTGGTCAGAGACTGCTGTCAGAACTGACACAGCTGCCACAAAACTCTGAGTCACAGCTGCCACCCTGCACTGCTGTTTGCTGTATAAACACTGAGTCACAGCTGCCACCCTGCACTGCTGTTTGCTGTATAAACACTGGAGTCACAGCTGCCACCCTGCACTGCTATTTGCTGTATAAACTCTGAGTCACAGCTGCCACCCTGCACTGCTGTTTGCTGTATAAACTCTGAGTCACAGCTGCCACCCTGCACTGCTATTTGCTGTATAAACACTGAGTCACAGCTGCCACCCTGCACTGCTATTTGCTGTATAAACTCTGAGTCACAGCTGCCACCCTGCACTGCTATTTGCTGTATAAACTCTGAGTCACAGCTGCCGCACTGCACTGCTATTTGCTGTATAAACACTGGAGTCACAGCTGCCACCCTGCACTGCTATTTGCTGTATAAACACTGGAGTCACAGCTGCCACCCTGCACTGCTGTTTGCTGTATAAACACTGAGTCACAGCTGCCACCCTGCACTGCTATTTGCTGTATAAACACTGGGTCACAGCTGCCACCCTGCACTGCTATTTGCTGTATAAACACTGGAGTCACAGCTGCCACCCTGCACTGCTATTTGCTGTATAAACTCTGAGTCACAGCTGCCGCACTGCACTGCTATTTGCTGTATAAACACTGGAGTCACAGCTGCCACCCTGCACTGCTGTTTGCTGTATAAACACTGAGTCACAGCTGCCACCCTGCACTGCTGTTTGCTGTATAAACACTGAGTCACAGCTGCCACCTGCACTGATAATTTGTTTTATAAACACCGGAGTCATGCTGTTTAAACTGTACTTTTGTAGGTGGTCTTGCATCTTCTCAGTATGTTGTACAGCCTCTCTGTGTTGATCCTGTGCTTCTTGCAACTGGAATAAAGAATAAAACAAACCTTTACTAATACGATATTCTAAATCTGCACAACTCATTCCCTGATCTACAGTGTTCATGTGCACTTCTCTGCAGTGAACGCAAATTTGACTGAGTTGCTGCTACAGGGATCTTAATTCTCTCAAAAACTAAAGTGTTACCTGCCCCCCCCCCTTTTTTTACAGAAAAGTTTACCAACATCTGCTCTGTGACAGACAGTCCATTTGTAAATCATAATCTACTATGCCTGCTCGATCAGCCAGCAAAGTCTTCAACTGTATCCTACTGGATATGCAAACTGACCACATGGCTGAAACCAAGAAAAGAGGGAATTTCTGATAGAATTGCCATTTTAAAAGTTCTTAGCCGGGCGGTGGTGGCGCACACCTTTAATCCCAGCACTTGGGAGGCAGAGGCAGGTGGATCTCTGTGAGTTCGAGGCCAGCCTGGTCTACAAGAGCTAGTTCCAGGACAGGCTCCAAAACCACAGAGAAACCCTGTCTCGAAAAAACAAACAAACAAACAAAAAAGTTCTTATGCACAGGTGTTATGAATCCACATATCTATAAACTGCCACAGCTCTGCCAGTTGTGATGAACATGGTGTTTAATGGCAGCTGACAGTCTTATGAAAGTTTCAGTGGAGGTATATCTATACAGAAGTCAGAACACTGTTACAGGGCATGATTTACTGGAAAACATGTTTCTAGTTGTGATGTGGCTCAGTCTTAGCACACACCTTTAATCCAAGAGCTTTCTGTTTGAATATTGTAAACAGGATTAAATCAAGTCAACCATAGGTCAAGAGGCAGAGCAAGCAAAGGAAGTGAAAATAGGATTATGAAGAAAAAAACCAATAGAGAGGAAGAGGGACCAGGAGGACAGAGAGAGAGACACACACAGAAAGTGTGAGGGAGGGACACTGACATCAGAAGAGAAATGGGGTCTTTTTTGGGGATGCTGGCTGAGGAGCAAGGCCTAGTGGATGCTTTCTCTGTCTTTGAACTTTCACCCCAGCATCTGGCTTTACTTTATTAATAAAATTGATTGATTGAGAGTTTGATTAAAAACAACAGAATGCTTGGGTCCAAAGCTTCTCCTCACCAGCTGTTAGATGTATAGATTCTGAGCAAATGAACTTCTTGTATCTTAGTTTCTTCCTCTGTGAAAAGGAAATAATCCTATCCATATCAATGGACTACTGAAAAGATTAGTTAGGGAATATGAAAAAAGCACTTGAACTGAACATGGCAGCGAGTTAGAATTTAGGCGGGTGCTATGGCAACCACAAAAGAGGTCATTTAGGCACACTGTATTGGCTCATTCCTTGTGTAACCGATTGTGGCAGGAAGTGGAGAGTGAGACCCATACTACATCTCTAGTACTTCCTGCAACTTCCAGAAATATCCCGAGCCACCAGCAACTGTGCATGTGGAATACTTTTTAGCTTCTTTTTATTCCATACTGCTCAGCTGGCAAGGATCATACAGTGCGGTGCAGACAGTGTTTCCTGGTGTAGGCAGTAATGGCCTGACAGTCAGCTGAAATATGGGGCTCTATTGATAAACTGAGGGTCCTAAGTTCACTCCTCCCGAGAACGTTGGGTTGCTTGATCCAGTACTCTAATGATACATGAAGGTTTTGCAGTACAGGATACCAGAAAAGTTGTGGACAGAGCTTTGCAGTTGGTCAGCTTCTACAGACGTATAGATCCTGACCCTGTCTATATAATGAAAGAAGACAAATGCAGTTATTTTTTTTCCTCAGAATGAGAAAAAAATGTTTGATAGAACATTTCTCCTCTATTAAATTATGTGCTTTCTGCTTCATATGCAATTCCTTAAAATATATTTACAATAAGAGCCTTATTATAGAGGCTAGGTATATAACTCAGTTGGTAAAGTGCTTGCCTGGGTTAGAGCCTCAGCAATACATAAACCAGGCATGGTGGCATTTGTCTATGTATAACTGTAGCACTTGAGAGGTGGAGGTAGGAGGATCCGAAGTTCAAAGCTATCCTCAGCTATGTAATAGTTTGAAGCCATGCTAGGATACCAGGCCACGTCTAAAAAAAGAAAGAAAAAGAAAAAAGACTGGGGGTGGTGGCTCACTCCTTTAATCCCAGCACTCAGGAGGCAGAGGCAGGTGAATCCCTGTGAGTTCGAGGCCAGCCTGGTCTACAAGAGCTAGTTGCTAGGACTGTTCCACAAGGAAAGCCTGTCTTGAAAAACCAAAAAAAAAAAAAAAAAAAAAAAAGTCATCACCTTAATGCCTCAAAAGAAGTAATATCTGGGCTGGTATGAAATACTTAATGACTACTAAGCAAAAATATTTTCAATTTATTCGATGTACACATATCAGCTCTCAACCCTTTAAGTTAATTTATATCCCAATAAGATGACAGCTCATACACATAACAAAAATAAAAGAAACCAACCAAAGAAGCAAAAGCCTATTAAGAGTAATGGAAAATCAGGATGTCAGACTGAGGTAAATGGAGTCAGAGTCAGGAAATGCTTCATGAAGATGGTAATTGTGAGTCAGTTCTAAATTGAATGAGGTGGAAAGAATAAAAACTGGGACGATGAAAAGGCAGCGCGAGTAAAGCTGTACAGCTGGTGTGGCCAGCCTCGTTAACTAAGATGCTCAACCCCACAGCAGCCTAGAAATGGGAAGTGCCCTGCTAGTGACGGCTCATTACCCGATAGTGGGAAAATATGGAGGGCTGACAACTTCATGCTGAGAAACAGTCATTCAGAACGACTAAACACCACATGAAATAAAATGCTCAGAAAAAAAGAAATTATATCTAGACAGAGAGATGGACTGGTAGATCTGGGGAAGACGGAAGGATTAGGGTGACAAGAAGCTCATGGTTTATTTTAAGATGATGAAAACGTTCTAATTGATTGTGATGACTATGTAAATCTGTCAATAGCCTAAGAGATGCCATTTTTTTTTTTACTTTAAGTAGTGAGCTATGCATTATATGTTCATTATAGCTCAATAATGCTCTTCTGTTTGAAAAACTCCAATGGCATGCCAGGTGTACTGGGCCTGCTTATAACCGCAGCACTCGAAGGGAGGAGGCAGGGGAAGGCTGTAAACTGAGGAGAGCCTGCTCTAAGCAGCTACTCCTAGACCAGCTGGAGCTGTAGGAAGATTCTAAAACAAACAAACACACAGAGAAACAGATGGCAGAATCTAGACGCTGGTTTTCATTCTGTTTGAAAAAGAGTACTATATATGATCTGAGTATTTCCATGTGGTTATATTTCTAAAAGAAAGAAATGCCTAGCTTTGGAGACAGGTTTTAGAACACCCTCAAACATTTGCTTTCTTGTTTCCGGCACAGCGGATAGAGCATAAGGACTCGCACATCCGAGGCAAACACTCCGCCTCTGAGCATGCTCCTCAGCCCTTTAAAAGTTTTCCAGGCTGGCCTCAAATTCTTGCATTGGTCTCCCAAGAGGCTTAGATTACAGGTGTGTTATCACACCTGGCTAACATCTGCATTTTGAGCAACATAAATGGCTTTTCTGTCCAAATTATCCTGATATCTATTAAATGAGTATCAAAGATGCTATATCCACTCACAAAAATGAGGATAAGAAGGAAGCCAATTTTCTGGAACTTTCTATAAACACCATCTCTAGTTTAACCTACTTTGCCTCATCTGCAATAGAAATATCTCTGAGGAAAGATATATAGTTCTCAATTTTTCCCAAGGATAAAAAAGGTTTACAAAAATTGTAAGAAAAAATGGGGCCAGTGAGACTCTGGGAGTCTGAAGGCACTGGCGGCCAATCTGAGGATCTCAGCTGGGTCTCAGGGGCCACATGGAGGAAGGAGGGCAAATACCCTCCCTACCCACGGGCAAGTTGACCTCTGACCTCCACTGGGGTGAGGTAGCATGTTTGGCCTGTTCCCCCACACGAAATAAGTATTTTTTTAAGTCAAAGAAAAAACAAATAGCAGAATAAAACTGGAGATTAAAGAAGTAAGTTCATTATAAAGGTGAAGGCAAATTACAATGAAAACATGAAAGAAAGCTGTCTTCTGGAATTATCCTAAAACTCTTATCATTTTACAGGCTGTACATGAGCAGTAGACACATTAAATTTCATACGTACCTGACTTCTGAGCTGACCTAATTTCTTCTTTAAATCTCGTGCCTCGTCTTCTAAATTACTGCGGTAGCGTGAGGAGACCTCAAGGGAAGCCTCTGACATCGACTGCTTCTTGAGGGTATCAGCCAGTTCCTGCTGGAGCTGCCTCACTACCACCTGGTGAGGTATTCGTTACAGATTTTATAAATCATAACACTGAGTAACACCACTGAGCTCTTCTCCATGCTCTGAAGAAAATCTGCGCATTTGGTAGTGTGTGTATCAGTAAGCCTGGCAGGGATGAATTCCACATTGTGGAACTGTTTTACATATTTTATTTTAATTTACTCATATCTTAAATTTTCATTTTTAACTGATATGTAAAAACATAAAACTGTACATGTCAGCAAGGTATCACATGATATTTTGATACATGTGCCCTTAACAGGTTAGACACAATTATGGCTACTAACATTGATCATTTCTTTAGGCTGAAATCCTTTCTTCAGTAGTCTGAAATATACAGCATATTATTGTTCAGTAGCTCCGCGCTTCCTGTTCTTAACTGTAACAGAGCACGCAGTGACCATGGCCTCCTCCATCACTGTAACCGAGCATGCAGTGACCGCTGCCTCCCATCACTCCTCCCTCTTCTTCTCAACCCAATCTCTGAGAACCACTATTGTATACTGGAGCTTTGAAGAAATCAGTTTTTAAGGTTTTATATTGTAAGTAGGATCACGAGCTCCCTGTGTTCCTGCGCTGGTCTTCAGTTATCAGCCTTTGGTCAAGCACTACAGGATTCTGTCCAGTTGTGGGCAAAGCCAATGTGGATGGACTACTCCATTCCCCTGTAGCACCCGAGGCCACCAAAGGACTGAGGCTCACACAGACATGTGCTGTTGCTAATTCAAAGCTCAACAGTAACCACAGTGTGAGATAGTGTTCATGAAGCTAGACCCTTGGCCACTTGGGCTGACGCTAAGTTGGGTTGTGTGTGATACTCACAGCCACTAAGACCTATGTCCCAGGGTGACCCAGGATCAAACAGGCATCCATCCCTACATACAAGTCTCTGCCTGTTGCCAGGGTAATATCCAAGCCCTGCCTTGCTAGGTATCAAGGTGTGAGACTGTAAGTCTATGTAGCTTAGAATAATCTCAAATTTGAAGTGTCCTGCTCCTGCCTCCTGACTTACAGTTGTGTGTCGCCATGCATGCACACAGAATTCCAAGAAGGCCAACTTTCTCCTAATTCAATTTCCTTCTCAAATCCTTCCAACAGTCTTCCTTCAGAATAAAAGCAAGGCCCTCAGTAAGCTGACGCCAGCTCCCACAACTCTCTCCCCTGCCCACTGCATCTCTGCTGTACATGAATCCTCACACTCTTTAGTTTTCATTAGTTTGGACGTGCAGATTTAATGATAATTAATAAACCACCAGTAACTACATTTATTTCTGTGCTGAACAAAGCTGCATCCTCTAAGATCACAACTGAGCCCTAAGATAGAAACAGGAACCTGTTACTCATTAAAATGTGGAAAATTACAAATGCTGACATGAGAGATTAACATATTTTTGACCCTGTTAAAGTTCACACATCTGTCCCAACTTAGGATTTAATGGAAAGCAGATGTTTTTGGAGTTATGGTCATAAGAATATATAATTTGGGACAAGCATTAAATTCAAGTGACATCAGACAATATTATACCAACAGGAAGATATACAAAGCTACTGAAAGGAAAAAAAACACTACAAAATACAGCATCTCTATTTTAGTTCCCTGATGAAATACAAAGCCACCTGGCCTATGGAATCACAACTGCAAACTCCGCATTTTAGTCATGAAAGTTCCCACTTAACCTGCCTCATCATGGTCCAAAAACTTGGCAAGAAAAAAAAGCATTAAAATTATTTCAGGACTGGGGTGTGTAGGCAGTGCATGTGCAGCATGCCAAAGCCTAGGGCTCAGTTTACAGCACTAAAAATCACAATTTAAAAGCTCATGCCCTCCTAATTATTACTTCAGCAGCATAAAACCGCATTATTAATACCAGTATATAACTAGCAACATTTTTAAGTTAATGTTCTACAATTCCAAAGGTTACACAATGTATCTACTCAAAATAACACATCTGTCAGGTCTAATTGTCCCTTCTTGCTGAGCGGTGGTGGTGTACACCTTTAATCCCAGCACTCGGGAGGCAGAGGCAGGCAGATGTGAGCTCAAGGCCAGCCTGGTCTACAAGAACTAGTTCCATAACAGGCCCCAAAGCTACAGAGACGATGGTGGCGCACGCCTTTAATCCCAGCACTCGGGAGGCAGAGGCAGGCGGATCTCTGTGAGTTCGAGACCAGCCTGGTCTACTGAGCTAGCTCCAGGACAGGCTCCAAAGCCACAGAGAAACCCTGTCTCAAAAAAAACCAAAAAAAAAAAAATAATAATAAAGCTACAGAGAAACCCTGTCTCGAAAGACCAAAGAATTGCCCCTTCTTTCCGGATTTCAAATTCAGTTCTATGTATGTAATTATGATTCTTTCAAAAATGTAAACAAAACTATGGTGCATGTTTTTAAGTACAATGTGATATTTCAAAGCACAAATACAACATGTAACAGTCAATTCTGAGTAATTGACACAATTTACCACATCAAATGTGGATTATCTTTGTTTTGGGAATAAGATCTAAATTATATTTGCCGACACAGATTTGTTTCTAAGGTAATATAACAAATATGATCAATAGATTTTTATAGCCAAGCTAGATTCAACACTCAGTATTAATGAATAGTATTTTGAATATCCCCACGGGATGTTTTAAAAATGTTAATCTTTATTGGGGTTAGAGAGATGGCTCAGCAGTTAAAAGCAATGACTGCTCTTCCAGAGGTCCTGGAATTCCTAGCACACACATGGTAGCTCACAAGCATGTCTAACTCCCATTCCAGGGGATCTGATGCCCTCATCTGGCCTCTGTATGCACTAGGCACACACATGGTGTGCAGACATACATGCAGGCACACACCACCCACGTAAGATAGAAACAGAAGTTGGAAATCTCCTCTTTACTGATACTCACTTCTCTTTCCGCTTTCTCATTTTCATACTGGCACAGTCTCTCTTTGAAGTGACTGCACTCACTGACTAACTCCTTGTTTCTGTCTTCCAGCATCAGCCTGTGCTTCTGGCCCTCCGCTTGGAGTCTGCCTAGCATATCATGGAACTGGTCTTGGATATTAACTATCGTCTTGTCTTTGCTGTCGGCTTTGTTGGAAGCATCGTCCAGCTGCTGTCGGAGCAGAATGTTCTCGCTCTGCAGCTGAGACAGCCGCTCCTCTATGGATTCTTGCTTTCCCATGTATTTGTTCACCTTCCCTTGCTCATCTTGGTACAGATGCTCAACCTCCTTCATCTGGCACTGTGTCTGGTTGAGGTCTCTTTGTACATGCTTCAAAGCCAAAGTCTTTTCTCTAAGCGCATCTTTTGTATGATGAAACTCAATTTCTAGGCTATTCAGTTTTTTCTCAGTTTTGGAAAGCTGTTGGGAGAGAATCTCATTGTTATCTCTGAGGTTAGACAGATCAAAGTTCATCTTGTCTTGCAAACGAAGCCACTCATCTCTTGCCCTCTGGAAAGCAATTTCTAGGTCTCTTTTCGAGGCCTGAATCTCAGCATGGTCGTGCATAGCAGAAGCCAGTCTAGAGCGGAATGAGTCAACATCTGTTTCCAGTCTTTCTTTATTTTGTTTTTCATTCTCCAGCTTAGAACTCAGCATTGTATTCTCAGTTGTAAGATTATTAAGCTGCCCGTTATACTGGAATATTGTTTTTGTAAATGTTTCTTCATTTAGCTTTATCGTTCTTTGAAGCTTATCACTCTTTTCATTTGCAGTCTTAATATCTTCAAGATACTTCTTTTCCTTTTCCTGGTTATGCCTTTTTACTGTGTCCATCTCCAGTCTTAGCATGGCAATTTCATCCTGCAACCTCTGGTTCTTATGCAACAGATCTTTCTCTTTTTCATGACTGACAGAAACCTAGGAAAGGAAACAAACATTTAGCTCTCACAATTCCTTATGGAATTCAGGAACAGCATGTGAAGTCTACAATCTAGGAACTGAAATACACACATGCAACTAAAAACATCTAATTTCTGAGCTTAGAGAAGCCTAAGTTCCCAAAAGTTCATAAATGTAACTGAAGACAATGAGAACTATACTTTCTGAGAAACTCAGCACTGGGAAAGCCGTTCTCTGGAGGACAACAGGCTTAAGGCGCAAAGCAAAGGTTATTAAATTGGCTCACATTTCACATTAGGAGATGGCTTAATGCCAGCGTGAGGATCAGAATATGGCTCCCCAGCACCCGTGTCAATGCCGGGGTGTGTGGCAACCCACTGGCAGTCCCAGCACCTGGGAAGCAGAGAGGGGAGATCCCAAGGGCAAGCTGGACTAGCCAAGACGGTTCTGTGAGAGGGCCTGAATCAACACCTGAAGTGCAGAGTGATCAAAAAGCCACGTAGCATCAACCTCCGGCCTCTACATGCATGCACATACATGTGCTCCCAAACAGATATGAACACACAGTTACACCACACACACACACACACACACACACACACACACACACACACACGGCTTACCCTTTAATATCTAACATATACAACTGGTCCAAAGTAAGAACCTTAGTTCTTTCATTTGAACAGAAAAAAATTTCCCAAAGTTCTTTTAATTCCTTTTTTTTCAGAAAGTTTTCGTAACCCCTTTTTAGTCTGTTGTGGCAACTATATTTGTTGATAAATACTTAAAATAAGCATTATACAAATAAGTATGCTTGCACAAGGGTGAACTAGTCACCACCATTCTGAAAAGGTAAGACTGAAAACGTAACAAGTGGCAGAATTCCCAGGTCCCCTTAGCCGGCTGGTAGTGCTCCTTCACCAATGCACTTGCTCCATATGTTAGACAGCGGGGCAATGTTTCTGCCATCTACTCCTAAAACAAATATATTATGTATACATACATATGGTTCAAAATCCTCTATATTTCCCATGGTGCGTAAGGTTGGCTCTGAAAATATGTAAATATATAAATGCACACATATTTAGAAAACTAAAGAAAGCACCTCGGAAGTCATTCTCTTCTGTGCCATTTCGATCTCCTTTTGCTTGCAAAGGTGATTTGCAAGAATCCCATCTTGTAACATTCTGGCATTCTGTTCTTGGGAAAGCTGCCTCTGAATCTCATTCCGCTCCTCTAGAACCTAGAGACACAGTCACGAAGTTTTCAGTCTCATGCTATTGTGCTGCTGTGGACATCCACAAGCTCAGTTAAGAGTAGAACGGTGAAAACATACAAGTGATTCTATTCCATATAAAACACAGTATAATATGTACTGCATATTATAGTTAAATTGCTTAAAAAACAGAAACAGTTGTTACAGGCAGAAAGAGTATTGCAAACTAGTTTGTTACAAACATTTAGCTTTAACACAGTTTCAAAGACAGCCTGCTTTTTTAAGAGGGCTAGACTAGCACTTATTTTCCATGGTAAACTTATCTTCTATTACCTCACTTAGAAAGGATGTCTGTAGTACCTATTAGTTTCCAAGAGTCATAATAAATAATTGCCACTATCTGTATTAAAATTTATTCTTAGCATAAGGCACCACTGGTCAACAATGGATTGAATATATACTGGCGACCCCACACAATTACATCAACTAGGGATGAGGCTGATCTCTGACATGATCATGAAGTTTGCACTATAATAATGAAACCAATAGATATTTTCATTAATGAGACATGGAGATATATATGTGGTATGTGCATATATAAATATAATAATATGTAATTAAAGTGACATTAAAAGTACAAATAAAGGTAGGATTAAAAAGTTTTACCAGTCAGGAACACTTTACTCCTAGCACTTGGAAGACAGAGGCAGGCGGATCTCTGAGCTCAAGGCCAGCCTGGTCTAGACAGTAAGGCCAGGACAGCTGAGGTTATGCAGAGAAACCCTGTTTCTATCCTGCCCCGCTCCCCGCCCCCCAAAAAAGAATTTTTTATAGAATATTAATGTACCTGGTTCAAATGATTTCTTACTGTCTTCAGCTCCATATCCAGTGTTCTGAGAGAGACTTCAAGCTGCTGCTTCCCCTCGACCTCGCTCTGATATTGCTCATCTTTTCTCCTAAGCTGCTCCATAGTTTTCTCAGAAAGCAGATCTGCACTTCTCCGCTTCTCTTCCTCTTGTTTCAGTGCAAATCTGAAATTAAATGTGTTTATCATAAAACTAACCTATTAATAGAAAATAAAGTTCACGATGGTGACATGGTGTCCTAATAAAATCTCTCTGTTGTTAAATAATTGTTTCTCTTTTTGACTCCTGAGTTTAATTCCTCACTTCAACCTCTTCTAAAGGCCATATGCTCTTGATGATAACAAGGATGAATAAAAACTTTAACTGGAAAATTTCTAGAAGTCTGGTAAATATTACTGAAAAGAAATTTTGAATGTATTCAGTAAAGTTACAGGTTAATCATTATCTTTTGTAGGGATGGAGAGATGGCTCAGTAGTTAGAGCACTGGCTGCTCCTCCAGAGAACCCAGGTTCAGTTTCCAGCACCCACATGGTGGCTCACAACCATTTATAGCAACAGTTCTAGGGGTTCTGATGCCCTTCTCTGGTTTCAGCAGGCACTGCACACATGCAGTGCATACACATACATGTGGACAAAACCCCCATATACATAAAATAAAGTTAAGTAAATGAAAAAAAACGGAACTATTTGGGGAGCAAGTACACATTCTGTAGTGGATGGAGACTTCATGAGAACTGGGCCTTGAAGGTCCACATGGCTGTGGGCTCTTGTCCAGCAGGAGGGTGTTCACATAGGTGCTGAGTGAGACAGCAGTTATGCTGGCTGGGGTAGCAGAGATGTGGCCTTGGGAAGTTGGGAGAGTCCTAATATGCGGTGATTTGATTCCAGTGGGTGGGGCTGACCCTCTAATCTGGGGGGGTGATTAGCACATGTCATGATATGACAGGCTTAAGTAAAGTATGAGGGACCTTAAACAAGATGCTGGGGGAAATGTCTGTGGGGCAAACAGATGCTCCCCACAGGTCTTCAGATGAGAACACTGGACAAAGGGGGAGAAAGCAGGCACTCAGCCTCAGGCAGCAGAGACAGGGTGCTGAAGAGCAGGATAAGTGCGGACTCTACTTGCAAGCAAGAGCTGCAAAGGGATCCTGGATGGCCAGCTCTGAGAGCCAGGGGCACAGTGGGCAACCTTCCCGCAGAACAAGCAGAAGTACGGGTATCTTCAGATGAGGGAGGTGGAATGCCCAGGGATGGAGGGCTTGGGATCAACTTACCAAGCAAGAGGTAAAGTCCTGCAAAGCAAGGGGTTGGGAGCCCCAGAATGGTGGGTTTATAGCACAAAAGTAAGGAGAAGATGAAAACTGAAAGCAGATTAGAACTCTGTCTGCACTGCGGGTGCGCGGAGTCCTGGGAGGAGGGGCTGTGATGTCCCAAAGAGCAGAACAGGCCTTACTGGTAGTGATTCAGGCACAGGTCCAGTCTGGGGGCCTCAGGGAGGGAGGGAGGGAGGAAGGAAGGAAGGTGGCCTTTATTAGCAGCATGTATGGAGGGAGTCCTGGAAGGGGGAGGAGTCTGAGGTGACCAAGGGATGGTAAAAGGAGAACCATCAATAGTGATGTAGGGGACAACCCTATATTTCTGATACACATTGCAACAAAGTAGCTATATATAACAAATAACATATAAAAACCAGAAAGGACTTCCTGAGAAAGAAATTTGGGGAAAATGCCATTCACAATAGCTTAAAAGCAGATACAACTTAGAACAAAAGTCGTAAACAGATGAAAGGCATCTTTAGCAAACATGGCGCCAGAGGGAGGTACTAGAAGGCACACACCTCATGTTCAGGGACTGACAGAATTAATCCAGCAAAAACTATCAAGAGCTATCTACAGATTAAACACAATCTTCATGACATCTAACGACACATTCATCCTCCTTCCCTCCCTCTCCCTGTAATTTCTATGAAATATTACACAGAAATCACGTGGTTCTGTGATGAGCATGAGAGTTCACATTAGATACTGAAGAGTTTTTAAAGTAGACAATTACATAGAAAACAATTAACATCAGTATTCTAATATAAGACAGATTTTAAGACTTATTTTATCAGCTGGCAGTGGTGGTGCACACCAGCAGCTGGGAGGCAGAGATGGGTGGATCTCTGCGAGTTCAAGATCAGCCTGGTCTACACAGTGAGTTCCAGGACAGACAGGGCAATACAGAGAAACCCTGCCTTTGAAAAAAAAAAAAAAGAAGAAGGTTATCTGATCAATAAATAAAGATGTTTTGTTTTTTAATGGCTGTTTTTATGTAGCCACTAAAATATAATTTTAGTGGAATCTATGGTATCTGTTTAATTCTTAGAATAATTCATAGTTATGTTCACTATTATTATTTGCAAGAATTTCACATTTCAGAAGACTAAGAAATTTTCTCTCTTGTAAACTCCATGACATGCAAGAAAGGCCAAAATTCAAGTACATCTCTGTATCATAAACAGTGAAAACATTTATTTAAAGCTAGGCTATCATGGCTGGGTAAATGGCTCAGTGGGTAACGGAGCCTGCTCTAACTCCAACTACTTGAGCTGGATCTTGGGGACCCACATGGCAGAAGGAGACTGACTTTCCCAAGTCAGCACCCAACTTCAACACACATGCCAAGGCATGTGCTCAATATGAGCACACTCACAGAGAGTGAACGTCACAGGACATTAAACAGTGGTGAATGAAATAAACCAAGACGGCACACCTCAGATTGGAGAGCTCCTGCTCCCATTCCGCCTTCTCATGCTCTAGCAGTGATCTTCCTTCTTTTGTTTCTGATACTTCCTTCTGCAATTCCTTAAATTTATTTTCCATTCTTTTAAGTTTTCCTGTAAGTAGTTCACAATGGCTTCTTTTAAATTCTATTAATCTTTTATAGGAATAAACTGCATCCCGGATTTTCAGAAGACTAACAATATCTGAAGCGGGGGAAAAGAAGAGACAAATAAAATGAGCGAGCATATTAAAAGACTGCATTTCTGTGTTCCTTCACTTACATATCGATGGGATATACAGTAGGTGCCGAGAGTGTGAAACACATTACATAAGCTCTGCAGATAACACAGGTGAGACCCTTGCTCTTTTTCAGCTTAAAAGAAAATATGGAATTATACATCTAGTGTTTTTTTTATATGAAACTGGATAAAACTGGAGATCTTCATGTTAAGCAAATTAAGCTAAACTCAGTCAAATGTTCCATGTTAGATTTAAAACAGAAAGCACAAAGCATTTAATGAGCTCTCATTCAGTCTACTTTTAGCCAAGTTGAGGTAACAGCTATGGAGCCATGTTTCCACTTGAAACAACCCAGATGAACACAGTTAAAGTATCTCAAACAATAATTCTCAGGACAATGATCCTTAGCAGACAGGGAGTAAATGGACACTACAAATGTCCCAGGTGTCTGACTCTCATCACACTAGGAGAAAGAACTGAGGCAGAGCTCCCTAGACTTCAGAGTCTGATAAGAACACAGGACAGAACAGAGAGGAGAGAGCAACCCAGAGGAACACCCTGCAGGTCTGTGGAGGGCCCCTGGAATACTTCGCCAAGCACTGAACAAGGGGCGTATAGGAAGAAACTATATGAACCAAGGATAAAACACTCGAAAAGGTTCATGAAGTCTCACTGTTGCTCCCACAGGACCAAGAAGAATATCTACTCTGCTTAGTCAGACTGGACAAACACAAGACGATGGATACAGATGAGAAAGGAAAATAAAACACATAGAAAATGTTCAACATTTATCAGCAGTGTAAGGCACTTTAAGACCACGATGATATACGTATCATACACCTATAAGAATAACTAAGACTTAAAATACGGACAAGCAGTGTTTGTGAAGACAGAGCCCTAGATCTCTCCTATCCTGTGGACTGGAAAACAGGAGCATGGGAGAAGAGCAGAGGCTTTTGTGACAGATTGGTTAACTATCTTGATTATGGTGTTTATTAAGTATGTGTTTAATACACATGTTGACACTAACCAAATAGCCCTTTATATATCAATATGCCTTGCTGACGCTGTGTAAAACAAAATAGTCTACTGCAAGAGCAAACTTCTAAGACAGCAACTAGGACACAGAAAAGGCAGGAGAAAACTAAAGGATCGAGAAACCTAACCTTGTAGCAAAGGGTTGATGTGATCAGGTCGGAATCTTTGCAACTGCGCAATTACAGTTAGAGACAGACAGAGAGAGTGGGGGAGGGAAAAGGTTTATTTGGTCTATGCTTCCACATCACCGTTCATCATCAAAGGAGTCAGGACAGGAACACAAGCAGGGTAGAATCCTTGAGGGAAGAACTGATGCAGAGTCCATGGAGGGGTGCTGCTTAATGGCTTGCTCCTCATGACTTGCTCAGCACAGAATACCGGCCCAGGGTGGAACTACCCATAGTAATTTGGACCCTCCTGCATCAATCACTAATTAAGAAAAATGTCCTATAGGTTTGCCTATGGCCGAATTTATAGAGGTAATTTCTCAATTGAGGCTCCCTCCTCTCCCATGACTCCAGCTTGTGTCAAGCTGACATGTATCTAGCCAGCACACCAGGTAACCTCATCCAGTGACAGTAGGCACAGAAGAAGAGCGAGATCAGCGGAAAGACTGGATGTGTCAGTTCTACAAAGGAGAGCCCAGTGAGCACGACTGCAGTGCTTTGGCTGACGGTATAAATGAACAGCTCACATACAACTGCAACATGAAGTCTACTTCTACATGCACATAGGTGCTCTAGGTCAATGCGAAGCGAAGTGCATGTATTACCATGTGCAGGAAGGCTGCCCATTCATTCACATAAGCGTCCTACCTCTACACTCCATCCTGAGATGCTCGATTTCACACAAAACGCTCTCATAATCGGGGCACTGGAGCTCGCAGTCCTCGGAGGCTGTTTCAGACGACTCATTCAAGTCATCGAGGTCGTCCACAGAGGCGACTTGGTTTCTGACCTACAAAATAAACACTATTTTAAACTGTTTCCCTAATATTTACATTATATATGAGATAATGCTTTATACAAGAAACAGACACTTCTTAAAAGAGCTGACAGTTGGCAAAAGGATGCCTTTATTTATAGCTACTATTTCTTCCTTTTGAAAGCCAATGTCTTTCCATAAGAAGATCCTTGATTTTTTCACTTTATCTTCTTATCTTTTAACTTATATATCACTACCTTTCATAATTTATTTTAAAACAAAATACCAGATTTTATTATTTTTACGTTACCTTGTTATTTTTATTAGATGTTTTCTTTGTTGGCCTAAAATAAAAAACAAACCCATTAAAATCCTTTAAGACTAATAGTATGTGAAATACAAAGAGTATCTAAGATACTGACTTTTATACAAAGCCTCTACATTTGAAATTTATTTCTCTCACTAATAACATTTATAGGCTATTTAAAATAAAATATTTTTCCAAAAGGGAATTTGATTACAAACGGAGAGTAAAAGTAAAATAATTATTAATATCATAAGAAGAAATTAAAACATATACACACATATTTTTTATTTAGCTGAGATGACCTTGAGCCTCCTCCCCTGACCACCAGTGCTGGGGATTCAAGTGTGTGCCACCAATGCCCAGAGTGGGCTGCTGGCAATCAAATAAGGGTTTGTATATCTAGGCAAGCAATCTACCAACTGAGCCATATACTCAGAGCAGAAAGAATTAAGCTTAGATCAAAGTTCTGGTTCTAAAAGTAAAGGAAAAACACGCTATTTACTTTTTTGATAGAAATATACAGAGATAGCTGAACCAAGCTCGTGGGAACTCACAAAATGGAGACTGACAGCTGTGGAGTCTGCATGGGACGGAACTGGGTCCTCTGCATGTGGGAGACAGTTGTGCAGCTTGGTCTACCTGAGGGGTCCATAGTAGCGGGGCCAGGATCTATCAAGTGTGAACTGGCTTTTGGGAGCCCATTCCCTCTGGTGGGATGCCTTGTTCGGTCTTGATGCAGGGGGGAGGGGTTGGTTCATACAACTTAATGTGCCAGGCTTTGTTGACTCCCCATGGGAGGCCTTACCCCTCATGAGTGGATGGGAGGAGTGGATGGGACATGGGCTGGGGGGAAGAGGAGGTGGGAGGAAGAATGGGAGGGAAAACTCTGGTTGGAATGTAAGATAAATAAAATATAAATAAACAAACGAAAGAAACCCTTAGAGGAGAAAAAAGAAGAAACTAGAAAAGCTTGTTAGCGGTTACTGAGTCATGAATACATACAGATTTCTTTGCTTATATATAAATTAATTAGATGATGGTTGTTTTTACAGTTAGAATAAGGGGGAGAAGAGAAAAGCTTTTTAGTGTACATGTAGGCATATGTGTGTGTGTACACATATGTGTTATAGGTCAGAGAACAACATGTATGAGCTGGCTTTCTCCATCAATTGAGTTCATCGGGCTTGGTGGCAAACGCTCTCATCTAAGCTACACTGATGCTCCTGTCTGCTGTTCCTGTACCTACAGTAAAATAGCTCTGTGTTTACCGCCTATGTGGGAGTGCTTCTCCAGTCCTCACATTAGGAAACCTTCTTTGGTTTCATTTTGTTCTAAAGATAAGGTCTAACTCTGTAGCCTAGGCAAGCCTGGAATTCAGTGAGTGGTCCAGGCTGGCCTTGAACTCATGATGAGCTAATTGCCTCAGTCTTCCTAGTGTTGAATTATCAGCACAACCCAGGAGCAAGCTATACAGTGTGAAGAAGAATCCTACCTATCTTCAAGTGTTTTTCGGTAATACAGTAGTAAATGAATCCACATTATCATTCTACTTTTAGTTGTAATTATTAATAATTTCTGAATCTTATTTCTGAATCAAGTATTTTCTAAATAAAAAGACATATACCTCAATAATTTTAGGAAATTATTTGTATGAAAATATAATTTGCATTACATTCAGGAAATACTGAACGCACGATACATAAAGACATTTGCAACAAGGAATTGTTTCTATACTTTTTTTATTTTACTGAATTTCTATGCTAGTTTAACTTTCAGGACATGTTTAATCCATATCAGTATATTCCATTTCCCAACTTATTTAGAGAAATCTTAACACCAGAATGAATCTTAAGAAAATTGACTAGAAATTGTGAGGACAATTAATAATAACTCTTCAGGGAAAATGTAGTTTAATACCTTAGACACACACCCCTGAATCGCACTGAGTAGGCATACACTTCTCTGCTGGTCCCGACATCATGCAAACATTCTAAACGCCTCCTTTAAAGACAATTCGTAAACCACACATCTTCTTCCAGCTATTGCCTGCTTTTCTATTATCATTCCCAGCATGAAGATCTGAGGCGTTGTCTACACTTCCCTACTGCAATCAGACGGCCATGGTGACCCTTTACTGAAACCGCACTTGCCCTGCCTTCCCCTTTCAGTGACACTGATACAGGTTAGCTCTTTGTCTGGAGACTTCCATGTTGTGTTTTATTTCCACAACTGACTAGTCGCAGCTAATGTTCCTTCACAGGGAATAAAGAGCGCAGACCTTACCTTGCTTCCCTTTGGTCTGTGTCACTTAGGCTGGAGCCATCCTGCAGGTATAGTGGGCCACCAGGTGGTGAGCCAGGCTTCCCAGTCACTGGCATCATGACGGATTCTCTGGATACACACTTTTCATTTTCCTTTTTCTTCATTTCCTTCATAAGCAAGGGAGGACCTCTAAAACAATCCATTAAAAAAGCTGGTGTCTTACAAATAGTTCTACTGACAAACATTCAAAAAAAGTAATTTTGGGGAAATTCTGATTCTTTTCTACCTTAATTTACTAAAAGCAAAAAAAAGCAATTAAACACTAGCTAACAGAAAATGTATAAATATACAATAATGGTACATGTAATGTATTGGAGTTACTATATGAGAAGTTTTATCTGAGGATAAGAAAAGCTTTTCTGAAGAGGTCAAACTGAGCCTGTTTCCACCCTGGAAGTGTTTCCAGATAGGGCCTGCACCTCCCAACTCCACAGGCCACCTGACTACACAGCCAGCTTCCCAAGATCTCCTCCCACAATGCTCACTGCCCAGAGTTTACTCAAGGCAGAGCAACCACACTTGGTGAGCCACACTAGAAGGAAACAGAAGAAAACCAGCAAGGGGGTGATGTTAGGATAAAGTTTGTTCATGAAAACAGTAGCCTATTTTCAAACCTGCAAGGCATCAATAAAAGTTCCACAAAACAAACCAAGTCTCAGCTGTCCTACAACTTAATCCTCTCCTGAACATTGTACATGCTTACACTGCAAGGTGAGTTGAACAAAAGTCCCAATACAGAAATAAATATAAAAAACACAGACATGTGCCCCCCAATCTACTAGTTCCACAGCAACAAATACCAATGAGAGCGATCCAGATCATAGAGACAAAAAAAGATTATAACTGTGCTGAAACAACTCAGAGGATCTGAATACACCCCAGAAAACAAAAGCAAAGACCTGGAGGAAATACAAATGTTAATCAAAGATATGAAAATGGAATTAAGTAAAGAGATAGAACTGCGAGAGAAAACCAGACTGAGGTGGTGCTGGAAATGAAACACTCAGTAAGCCAAGCAAACTCCTCAGCGGAAAGGCTCTGACAGATGAGTCCTGGGGACAAGGAGGAGAGACGGACCACTCAGTAAAGGTCAATCAGAAATTTTAGGAAAAAAAAAAAGGAATAGAGCATGTGTACACTTTGGGACACCATGATAAGAACTAACCTTCAAATTACGGGCATCTACAGAAGAAGGAAAATAATATCACAGTGAAGGTGTAAAAGAAAACTCCCCAATCTAGAGAAAGAGATGTCCATCCAAACACAAGACGCCTACAGAACTTGAAACAGACAGGATTAGAAAAGAAACTCTCTACAATATACTATAGTCAAAACATTAAAAACACAATAAAGAAATCTGAGAGAAAGGTCAAGTCATATATAAAGGCTGGTCAATCAGAATAACCTGATGATAGACAGAATACTTAATACTTTCCTTTTTAAGAAGCATTTAGATTACCTCCAACTTTAAGATATATTAAAATACATATTCTTAAAATATGCATACGTGTAACATATTTAGGTAAATATGCAAAACATATAACATATCCTTAACATACATTGTTAGTTACCTATCATGTGTAATTCATATTGTATATGAATGCATATGTGTTTGTAAGTCATGTTCTCCTATTTCAGAGAATTTGATCCCAGCATGACGCTTCAGGCACTAGAAGGGTGCATGTCAAACTATGATACACGCTGCTGAACCAACTGCAAAATACTCACCGGTCCAGTCAGGAGAATGCCTCCACTACTGTCAATTCTAGTTATTTTTTTAAAATATTAATTAATGTAAGTAGAAAAAACATGTCCTTTTATAATCATGTAAGGCTGAATATGTCTAATATATGCATAACATTATTTAATGGTGAACAGTAGTCCAAATTAGAACTGGTTTTATAGTTCTACACATACATAGCTAAATACTGCATAATCTTACCTATCATGCTCTTTACTTCCCTTCATAGGAAACTGCTGGTCATCAGTTTTCCCACTCTGCTGATTTACTCCATTCTCAACCCTGTCAGCAGCACCATTGTACAGACTTCCTGATAATTTTGCTTCATTATTTTTGTATTTTCTTTTTTCTTCAGCCTTTAATGAAAAGTTGACAGTAAGGATAACTTACTTTTCAAAAGACTTTTTTTTGTGAGGGCACTGAAAAAATGGCTCCATGGCTAAGAGTACTGATTTGGTTCCCAGCACTCACACGGCAGCTGACAGCTATCCCCAGGGACCCAGCATCCTCTTCTGCCCTCTGCCAGCAACAAGCATGCACACTGCACACATATATACATACAGGCCAGACACACCCACATGCAAAATAAAATAAAAGCCATTATTCAATGGAAGAGGAATTATTCTTTTTAAAAGTTTAGTTTTCACTGATTTTTACCACTTGACAGATCAGTCATGATTTAGATTTGACACTGGAGACCTGTGTGTTGTATAGTGAGAAAAAGGGATGATATGCAAAATTTTATTCTCGGGAGTTCTTCTTTAAGGATGTAGATTAAAAAAAAAGAACCTTATTTTTAAATACTAAGTATATACAAAGAAAAACTAGAAAACAATTGAGATTTTCACTGGACAGAAGAGCAACACCAATTTCTACTATAAACTACGATGGTGTATTCTTTGTTATTAAGTCCAGTTCTAATAGTCTCTGTTCAACAAACATGGTGGACAAAACCATTTAGAATATCTACCAGTTTCTAACAATGAAATAAAGTTTGAAAGTTAATGCATTTACTCCAATACTGCAGGCCTCACTCCAATATGAACTCTCTGAACAGGTGACTGTGCTGGCTGGAGAATAGTTTAGCTATTTTGAGGGCACTGAGGGCGGAGTGAAGGATGCATGCATGTGAACACATCTGTGTGTGCATGAGTGTGGACATGTATGGGTCCTGAGGCCAGACGAAAATGTTGGTGTCTGCTCTAATACTCTACCTTACTCTACTGACACACAGCCTTTTACTGAAGTGGAAGCTTTTCATTCTGGTGTTGCTACCGAGCTCCCAGAATCAGCTCTCACTGCCCCCAGTGCTGGGGTTACCAACACACATGTCCACGTCAGGCTTTTTGTACATGAGTGCTGGGGATTTGAACTCAGGTCTACAGATTCTTATACAGTGAGTACTTCTATCCTAGAAGAATCTCCCTAGCCCTAATTTAAATTTGATAACTAGTTATAATGTTTTTAAAATGAAGTATTAGGGACTAGAGAAATGGCTCAGTGGTTAAGAGCACATACTCTTGCAGAAGGCTGAGTTTGGGTCTCAGGACACTGTTAAGCTAATATCTGCGCATAATTCCAGCTCCAAGGAACTATACCCTCTTCTGCCCTCTGCAGGCACCTGCACACATATGCACTTGCCCCCCCCATGTAATAAAAAATTTTAAATTAAATATTAAATTATGATATACTGATCCTAAAAGGCTAGTCTGAATGATACTCATCCAACATGCTGTACCACAGAGTCACGAGCACTGAAATCCAGGACTAAGCTTTCACGTACCTTTCTCTGGCTGTCTTCACTGCCACTGAGCCCTTTCTGCTCTTCTGAGTCTGGTTCTGCAGACAAATGCATATTCGGATAAAATAAACTTAGCTAGATAAAGTCTTTATAAACATAGGAAAATAAATAAAAATTTGTTTTTTCATCTAGGAGTTTAAGTTTAATCATTAGCTACAAAGCTAAATATTTACTACCTCAGGAAATACTTTCAATTACTTAAAACTTCAACAAACTATTCAGAGATACCACCTGGAACCAAATTCACTGCATATAAAAATCTCAATAATTCATGCACAAACTCCCTCAACATAAATACATCCTGGGGAGAGGCGCTAAAAATACCAGAGAACCATAACCTCACAGTGCACACCATTCCATCTCTGGCTTCTGGAATCACTGCCACTTCTCACACCTCTACCGCTGAACACTGCTACAAATGAAATGTTTCCAGCACTATGCTGATGGAGTGCTGTTATCCCAAGACTTGAGTCCACTCTGGGAAGCTCCGAGTGTCTGCACACACACACACACGCACGCACATACACACACACATACATACATACATACATACACACACATACATACATAAATACACATACACACATACATACATACACATACATACATACACACATACATGCACACACATACATACATACACATACATACATACACACATACATACATACATACACACATACATACACACATACATACATGCACACACATACACACACACACATACATACATACATACACACACATACACACATACACACATACATACATACATACATACATACACACATACATAGGAGGCACAATGTGCCTGTCTACATGTGACTGATTTAAGATCATCCATATAATAGCGTCAAGGTAAAATGATTTAAAGTACAAACACTGCTGCTGTTAAGAAACAAAGCTTGATTCTCAGCAAGCATCAGCATCCTCGTAAGCATATTTTTCAGAAGACAGCAACTCACGAGGCTGCCGAGGCCAGTCCCAACCTCCAGGGTTCAAGTGATCCTCACTACAGCTTCCTGAGATGTTAGGTCCACAGGAATGCAGCACTGTGTCCAACTCTCCAGCAAGCATTTTCAAAGTTTGGGAGGCTAAAAAAAAATCTTACAATCTCATAATTAACCTTTATGAATCCCCAGAAAGTGTCAGGATTCTGAACCGTAAACAAGTTTCTGAAATATTACAGGACATCTGAATGTCTTCTACTTTTAGTAAAAACCTCAATTCTGCTTCATCCTGGCTAGCCCTAAAACTTTTTTTTTGTATGTGTGTGTCAAAGCCACAAACTCAGAGTTTGACTGAGTTGAAGTCCCTAAGCGATTCCAGGAACTCCTCCGACCTCCAAGGGTGACAGTGGGAACTGCGTTCCTGTCTCTTGACTACTGACGAATACCAATAATAATGTTCCATTATTTATTTCAAATCCTTGAACAAAACTGGGAGTAAAAAATGTTTAGGAATCAGAAGACTGAGTATTTCCAATATTGAGTGTACCTTACCCTAGAGTATTACACAACTTACCTGATTTGAACGTCTGTACATCCTTCATTCCTGATGTTTTGTTCAGAACAGGATCCGGCTTTTTGATGCTAGGCTGGTTGGATTTGGAGAAGTTAAATTGTTAAAAGTAATTTGTTAAATTGTTAAATATACATTTAAGAAATATATATTTCATAACATGTAGTTAAAATTTATAATGAAAATATTATTATACCTCCATGACTGGATACTTCCTGAGGGTCTCTAAAAGGCAAAAGGGAAATTATATGTAATTAAAAACACCAACTGTCTATTTATGCAGTTACTATGGAGCCGAACCCTCATGCTACATTTGAAAATGATCAACCCTGCCACCCTCCTCTGCTTAGACCAGCAACATGTCAGAAATACATTCAACAAGGAACAAGAGGGTAAGTTTGACAAAACATGCAGGAAGGACTCAAAGTGAGGAGTTTCCAACGACTGTAAGTAAAACAGAACCGGGTATTTGCCAATGTCAGCATGCTGATGAGTAGACAGAAATGTGACCGTTAGTTAGAGGACCAAGTTACAACTGCGACGATTATTTCAGAGATGATGGCAAAAGCGTGTCTTAATGCAGCACACCAGGATGGCTCGTGAGATTATTCTACAAGCATTTATCACGTTCTTCAACTCACCCTGTAATTTACAAAGTACAAAGACGGGCCGATAGTTCAGTTGCAAGTACAATTCACTTCTCAACAGGGAAAATTTTCTAAATTGACCAGGTAGGATATATACTTGTAGAATAATAGTTAATAAAAATTACAGTTTTTTTCCATACCCTTGTGGGCTACTGGAATGCCTACATTTCTTGATTCCTCTAGTTTAGCCATCTTAAAGTTTCTTGATCCACTCATGCAAGAAGGTATATAAGTCACATCTAAGAAATAATGTATGCGTTTTTAATATTAAATGATTATAAAAGGAAAAGGTAAACTGAGTTGTCAGATATTAGCATCATAGATATTAACAAACTTTTATTTCAAAATTGGTTTAATATTTAAATTAGCAAGTAAGAAATGAACCATATTGGTGCACACCTTGAATCCCAGCACTTGGGAGGCGGAAGCAAGCAGAGCTCTGTGAGTTCTAGGCCAGCCTGGTTTACAGAGTGAGTTCCAGGACAGGCCCACAGAGAAACCCTGTCTCGAAAATCAAAAAAAGAAATGAACGGTAATTCTGTGCTTTAAAACCCGTTTGCTTTGGCTGTTAACTATGTCAGTCTTTAACAGATTTTCATGAAACATCTACTTCATCAGAAATTAGCTATCTGGAAAGACAGCAAAGGCTTCCATAATTAATTACTCTAATCTAACTAACATATTAGTGAGACCCGATGCTTGCTAGGTATTCAGAGGACAGCTCCATGACTGCAGTAAATCAAATGCTAACACCATTTTCTACCTCCAGCAACATCCGAAGCACAATAACCTAACGTGACTGCCAACGTACTGATGCCGCCACGAGTTCCCTGGCATTCCCTCTTTATCAGCTCCAACATAGATGTGTTCCTTCTTCCATCTCCAGGGGATCCCACACCCTCACACAGACATACATGCAGGCAAAACACCAGTGACCATAAAATAAAAATTCCTAAGGTCAAAATTCAGTATGTTGATAAAACATGGAACCTGGCTCTCTGGTATTAAAATATGGCATTCTAAAAACACTAATCTACTCTTCGTAACATTCACAGAAATCTGGCCTCCATTTACTGAATGAGTCGTTTGGGACTCGGTGACTCATTTTGATCCAAATGTTAAATCTGGCTGCTTTTTCACTGGATAAGGTGACCAACATAAAAGTAGGAAAATTTCCATTAAGAATTATTCCCTCATTCTATGGGCTATCCGCTTGCTCTGTTAATAGTTTTTTTTTTTTTTTTTTTTTTTCGAGACAGGGTTTCTCTGTGGCTTTGGAGCCTGTCCTGGAACTAGCTCTGTAGACCAGGCTGGTCTGGAACTCACAGAGATCCGCCTGCCTCTGCCTCCCGAGTGCTGGGATTAAAGGCGTGCGCCACCATCGCCCGGCTAATAGGTTCTTTTTCTATGCAGAAACTTGACTTCATGCAGACCCTCTAGTGGTATCTGGGGCTTTTCCCTGTGCTGCTGAAGACCTATTCAAACTTCTTACTCAGTCTTCAAAAGTATTCCTTGTGTTTTCTGTCTTTGCTTGGACAGCTTTTGTTTTTGCTTTTTCAAAAGAGAGCCTCACTGAGTAGTCCTGTCCTGGAACTCACCATGTACATCAGGTTGGCCTTGAACTCTCAAGAGATCTGTCTGCCTCTGCCTCTGAGTACTGGGGCTAAAGGAATCAGCCGCCATACCTGGTTTCCCTTGTGTTTCCTTCTAAAAATCTTAGAATTTCAGGGTTTGTTTTAAGGCCTTTGATGCTCATCTCAAACCGACTCTGTACAGGGAGAGGCACGAATCTTATCTCACTCTTCTGCAGGCAGACATCCAGTTCTGTCAACAGCGTTTGTTAAAAGGCCTCTTTTCCCATGGCATGTTTTAGACTTTGTCCAAGATTAGGTGGCCATAGTCTGCTGGTCTACCTCTGGGTCTTCTAGTCTGCTCAACTATGTTTTTATGCCAGGAGGCCTGCCTTGAGCATTCTAGCTCTATAGTATAGTTTGAGATCAGATTTGTGATACCTCCAGCTGCATTACAATTCCTTAGGGTTGTTTTGGTAATGTGGTATTTTATGGTTCTTTATAAGTTCTTAGATTTTTTTCTATGTTAGTGAAATATGACATGGGGGTTTTGATGGTTATTGCACTAATCTGTAGGTTAATTTTGGTCATGTTGTCATTTTCACGATGTTAATACTGCCAGTCCAGGAGCATGGACGTTCTTTCCATCATCTGGCATCTCCTTGGGTTTCGTTTGTCAAAGTCTTGACATTCTCATTGAAAAGGCCTTTCACATCTTCGGTTAGGTATATCTCATGTATACTTAATTCTTCTAAGCTATTATAAATGGGATATTTTTCTTAATTTCTTTTTCTGAGTGTATACTGCTGGTATATGAAGGCAAAGGCGTAAGTCACAAACAATCCCACACCAGTTTGGAATTATGATTAATAGAATGGTTATTTATTTAAAGGGGGAAAAACTTACAGATCACTGTCCCAGACAACAGCCCTCTGCGCAATCAGGAAGGGAGTCTAGTAGCCGGGAGCAGAGCAGGAAGTAAGACAGAGAGGAGAGGGAAGTGGCTGCTTTTTTAAAGGGAGAGAGACCACACCCCAATGGGCTGGTATCTCAGCAGCTATTGACTGAAGGAGTGGAAGGAGCTACCGCAACAGGTATATATGAAGGTTACTTTACCAACTACTTCAAAAAGAGGGCTAATATTGAGAATTTACAAAGAACTCCAGAAGTTAAATACCAAGGAAACAAAACTACCAACCAACATACGGGCTAATAAAATAGATAGTTTTCAAAAGAAATACAAATAACTAATAACTTTTTAAAAGTCTTAAACATCCCTAGTCATCAGGGAAATCTAAATTAAACTACTCAGATTCCACTTCATCCCAATCAACATGACTGCCATCAAGAAGTTGGAGAGGCTGGGTGGTGGTGGTACACGCCTTTAATCCCAGCACTCGGGAGGCAGAGACAGGCGGATCTCTGTGAGTTTGAGGCCAACCTGAACTACAAGAGCTAGTTCCAGGACAGGTTCCAAAGCTACAGATGAAGCCCTGTCTCAAAAAACAAAAAGCAAGCAAGCAAGCAAGCAAGAAAGAAAGAAAGAAAGAAAGAAAAAACAGAGAGGATGAGTGCACTGCTGAACCCTCAGCAAGAAGCTTCTTCGTGTAGAAGACGGGAATTAGCAGAGAGACCTAGAACTGGACAGTGTGCAGAGCGAGATATTTTGGAGCACTCAGCCCTAAATGGGATGTCTTTATCAAGCCCTTACTCTCAAGGCTCAGAGACCTGTGCAGAAGAGGAGGTGGAAAGGTTCGAAAAGCCAGAGGTGGTGGATGACTCCAAGGAAAACAACGTCTTCCAGACACAATAAATAAGGCTGGTGTAACGGCATAAACGAATGCAGACAGATTGTAAAAATATATACAGCTTTAATGGAGAAATAGACTTACAGAACCACCGTTCCCATGGAGACCAGGAATCAACCTACCCCTGGACCCAGCAATACCACTCTTGGGAATATACCCAAGAGATGCCCTATCATATGACAAAAGCATTTGTTCAACTATGTTCATAGCAGTATTATTTGTAATAGCCAGAACCTGGAAACAACCTAGATGTCCTTCAGTGGAAGAATGGATGAAGAAAGTGTGGAATATATACACATTAGAGTACCACTCAGCGGTAAAAAACAATGACTTCTCGAATTTTGCATGCAAATGGATGGAAATAGAAAACACTATCCTGAGTGAGGTAACCCAGACCCAAAAAGATGAATATGGGATGTACTCACTCATAATTGGTTTCTAGTCATAAATAAAGGTCACGGAGTCTATAATTGGTGATCCTAAAGAAGCTAAATAAGAAGGTGAACCCAAAGAAAAACATATAGTTATCCTCCTGGCTATGGGAAGTAGACAAAATTGCCGGGGAAAAAATTGGGATCTTGGGGGTGGGGTGGGATGGGGGTAAGGAGAGATGGGGAGAGAAAAGTGAGAAGGGGAGGATGGGGGGAACTTGGGGAAACAGGATGATTGGGATAAAGGAAGGTTGGATAGGGGAGCAGGGAAGCACAAATCTTAGTTAAGGGAGCCACCTTAGGGTTGGCAAGAGACTAGAACCTAGAGTGGCTCCTAGGAGCCCAAGGCGATGTCCCCAGTTAGTTCCTTGGGCAGCTTAGGATAGGGAACCTGAAATGACCCTATCCTATAGCAATACTGACGAATATCTTGCATATCACCATAGAACCTTCATCTGGTGATGGATGGAGATAGAGACAGAAACCTGCACTGGAGCACTGGACTGAGCTCCCAAGGTCCCAATGAGGAGCAGAAGGAGGGAGAACATGAGAACATGAGCAAGGAAGTCAGGACCACGAGGGGTGCACCCACCCACTGAGACAGTGGGGCTGATCTATTGGGAGTTCACCAAGGCCAGCTGGACTGTGACTGAAAAAGCATGTGATAAAACTGGACTCTCTGAACATGGCGAACAATGAGGGCTGATGAGAAGCCAAGGACAATGGCACGGGGTTTTGATCCTACTTCATGTTCTGGCTTTGTGGGAGACTAGCCAGTTTGGATGTTCACCTTCCTAGACATGGACGGAGGGGGGAGAACCTTGGACTTTCCACAGGGCAGGGAACCCTGACTGCTCTTTGGACTGGAGAGGGAGGGGGAGAGGAGTGGGGGGAGGGGGAGAAGGGTGGGAGGAGGGGGAGGGAAATGGGAGGCTGGGAGGAGGCGGAAACTTTTTTTTTCTTTTTCTCAATAAAAAATTTTTTTAAAAATGAAAGAAATAGACACAATTATTAAGAGACTTTTAAACATGGTAATTTAAAACTCAGAATTGTTTAGCATCTTTCCAAAGTGAGCTTCCAGGGGAGAAGAAATTTGTAGAACGAGAGCTAAAAAGGGCAGCTCCATCATTAGGGAAAAACGTCATCCAGTCAAGAAAGAAAGGACTCCACAAGACACTGGTACCCACCTCCTGCACTCAAACCATGAGACAAACTCTTATCTCACCTCCAACTTGTGACACCCTCGAAGAGCACAGCCAGAGAACTTCAGCTGGGTGACACTCATCTTCGGCTGCATTGACAACTGTCTACCTCAAGTAACTGACTCAAAACCCTTGTAACAAAAATTCTCTCACGTTTTATGCTTCTTAAATAATTAACATTTAGGTATTAATTTTATTGATATATTCATAAATGGCAAAAATGTTAGTTTTGGCTTTAGTAAGGTCACACTGAAGATATGATGTCCTTCCTTTAATCAAGAGTTTGCAATGTCTGTCTACGTACTCAGACATACTAAATTAGTTAAAGAAAGTCTTACATGGTTAACGACTCCACTTTTATCACTATCTTCTAACAAGAACTCTTGCATTATTTACTATAAATTATACTTTTTAAATTAAATAATATTCCTATTATTAAATAATACTTTTTAAATTAAATAATATTCTTATTATTATTACCAAGTGACTCCTGTTGATATTCCATTTATTTCCCTTCCTACACGTAAAATAAGAAGATTTGGCTCTTCCTATGAAACCTATGAAATCTTAACGTATGAGTTCTAACTCTGCCTCTTCTATCTGGTACACAAAAATAGACGATTTTGGTAGAGAGAAATTAAAAGTCAAATGATATTGTTATTTGCTTTCTTTTATAATGTGACTTTCTACTTGGCAACTCAAACTAAAATGTAGTATAATAGCTAGATAATCGGACAGATGAAGTAATTATCCCCAAATAATTATGAGGCAGGAGGAGACGACATAGCAGTTAAGAGCACTTACTCCTCTTCTAGAGATGCTCTTCTGCTACTCATCCTCATCTTTAGAAGATTCTAGAAGTGCATCTTCCCAGGACCACAGGACATCAAAGCATAATTGATTTTCCATGCAGAAATTGAGATGCTTGGCCAACTGGGAGAACTGTCAACTAGTGTTCTCAGGGGGAAAGCCACGTTTCTCTTAAAGATCCCTGCGACTGAAAGGCCCAACCCCTGACATCACAGGTCAGAACCAGATCATCTCGTGCTATCTTTACCACTCTCAATGGCCATTCCAGCCTCACCTCAGGATCTGACCTGGGTCCTCGGTCAACATGGGAAAGTATGAACTCATGTTACAGAAAAAAGCCACGCTATGCTAAACACTCCACGAGGCTGACCGAGTGCACTAATTAGAGAGAACTGGAATGATGCAGGTCCAGAGCCCCCAAACAGTCAGCTGTTTAATGTCCATCTCTGTCTCTGGCCCATCACCCCTGTGACCACCAAGGACACTCCTTTTTGAAATGTACAGACCCATAGATTCCACCAACTCAAAGGCTGAGAACATTATTAAATATCATCTGATGCCTGAATAGAGACTTTCTATAACCCATTCCCCTGATATCTTTACCCATGTACTATGGGGGGGTGGATGTGTGTGTGTGTGTGTGTGTGTGTGTGTGTGTGTGTGGTGGGTGTGTGTGTGGTGGAGATGGAGGGAAGAGAGGACTAAGTGAGTGCATGTGTCTGCAGGAACACATAGAGGCCATGGCTGTTCAGATGCTGTCCATTGTGGGCTTTTTTTTTTTGGTGGAAGTGGTTCTTGGTGTTTTTGAGACAGAATCTCTCATTGACTTGGTACTTTCTGAGCAGGCTAGGCTGGCTAGTCAGTGAACCCTACAGATCTGCCTGTCTTTGCCTTCCCAGCCCTGAATTACAAGCAAATGCCACCTTTTATTTTTTTTTTGAGGGGGGGATTATTTTATTAATATGTTGTGAGGTTTAAAAGCAGGTCCTCAAGCTTGCACAGCAAACACAGAAGCAGAGGCAGCTTCCATCAAGTAGTTTTGTTTTTGTTTGTTTTGAGACAGGGTTTCTCTGTCAGGACAGCCCTGGCTGTCCTGGAGCTAGTTCTTGTAGACCAGACAGGCCTTGAACTCACAGAGATCTGCCTGCCTCTGGTGGGATTAAAGGCATGTGCCACCACCTGCAAATGCCATTTTCACCTATAGGCTTACTGAACTTCCCCCACCCATCACGAAGCACACCGTTCTTGCATCATCTGTCCTCACACTCGCTGCTATCCTTGTCTTCAGTGCCCTTCCCCTCAAGCTTGGGCACAGTTTCCAGTGAACTAAACATGCAGTGTGGCTCTTAGCAACACTCCCAGTACTCTGCTGCTGCTGGACCTTGGGAATTCATACACAACTTTCCGCTGCTTCCTTCTACGGACTCAGCTGACAACACATGATACTCTAAATAGAGACCCGTCAAATGGCTTTAAATAAAGCAGTTCTTACCTTCTACCTGTCCGTGTACTCTTGCCTCTCCTGTCGGATCTGCAGCACCATAGAAACGATCTACACCTCTCAGTGAAACACTGTCGGAGATACTCTGTGGAAGAAGACATCAAAATGAGTTACATACGGATTTCTTAATGGTTTTCTAAAATAGTTCAATTTCCTGTTTAAACAGAAAAATAAGACAGCATGCACTCATAAGAAACATGCCAGTGCCGGGCGGTGGTGGCGCACGCCTTTAATCCCAGCACTCGGGAGGCAGAGGCAGGAGGATCTCTGTGAGTTCGAGACCAGCCTGGTCTACAAGAGCTAGTTCCAGGACAGGCTCCAAAACCACAGAGAAACCCTGTCTCAAAAAAAAAAAAAAACCCAAAAAACAAAAAGCAAAAAATAAATAAATAAAGAAAGAAAGAAAGAAAGATGCCAGTAAAGGAAACTCTCTAAATTTGCTCTCTAGATCAAACCTAACTTTGCTCTGCATCTATGAAGGAAAGCATGAAAGATCAGAAGAACATATTCATAAAAATATTAATTTATTTTCATGTTTCAATGAGCAACTAAGCTCAGAATACTTAACATTACTTCTTATTCTCCAGGTAATGCAAGGGGATGATTTAAGAAAACAGACATTTTAAGACAGCATGAAACACTTAAAATGTACCCAATGGTAGAAGTTTAAAGTCAAAATAAGAAACCTGGCATGCATGGTAAGAGACTTCAGAGTGTGCCACGCTGGTTACACACAGAGCATGGTAGAAGCTCCTCCTATATTTAGGTAAACGAAGCTTAGAAAAATCTAAGAATTGTTGTGTAAAATTTTTACTGCCAGCAAAAATAGCTGAATAAAAACAATAAAAAATCTTTTGTTTGTATAAATAAAATCCAAAAAAATCAGATGTAGAATATGACCCCTTCTCAATCAAAAAGGAACTTCTAAAATATGCAGTAAGCTTTGATAAGAAAGGATATAAAATATTTAAGTGTTTAAAATTTGCTAGGGAATTGTTTTGAATATAGTATAGTGTGTGTGTGTGTGTGTGTGTGTGTGTGTGTGTGTGTGAATATCAGACTTTGTGCTTCTGAATCATCTCAGGACATTTAGAGCAAATGATGAACAAATGTGATTCACTGTTCTTTGGAACGTTCTGGACTCTCATGGGCTGGCTGCTGCTTCCATCCTCTAGGTGGGAGTCTAAATGCCATTCTCAGAAAGCACCCTAGTAAGGCCACCTCCACTCCTCCCTCCTACTTGCTTTATACGAAGCAGTTCGACTGACTTACAATATGTTGTTTGGTCCTCTGTTCTATCGTTACTTGAGCACTGAGCCCTCATTTGCAGTAGTCAGCATCTAACTGCCTCGGACATAACAGTAACTCAGCCACAGAAATGTATTCAGGGGCAAAGCATTCAAGCTCTCATTAGAAAGACCGCATGCACGGAATCACTAGATTCTTCTCTGTTATCTCAACTAATGGTTTATTGAGACTTACCATTTCCAGACTGGAAATGTGTCTGCCCCTTCTACCTTCCCATTTTTTTTTCTTGACACTACTTCTCCACTGCCCTCTAGCAGGAAACTGGCCCCCAATGTCCATCTCATTTTGAAGAGCACTCGGATCTTGCTGCTACACATTTGCAGACACCTGTTACGTCTCACAAGATGTTTATCTCCTCACCACACCTGTGCACCACATGTCTTTATGGCACAACAAAGTCACTGATGTTCAGACAGGTTAATTTCCCCACCCCCCAAATTCTATAAATATTAAATGCCAGGACTATGTATGAACACGTCTTGGCTGTGGTGATTCCAGTACGCAGTCACTACACATCCAAGCCGGCCCCAACTCGTTCTGTGGTGGTGTCATTCAAACTGGCAATCATTGATATTTATGTTACTTCAAGCATGGATCCTACACTGAACTCCATACATTTCACTTCTGAAAATGATTTAAATATATTAAAAAAGAAGTTAAATTAAGACAAATTTAAACGGAATCGCTGTAACCCCACAGTTACGTTCATTCTCTCCCTTCTCCTGACTTACAGTTTCCAGTCTCATTTGCTATCCTTTCAGGGTTCAGAAGGATCCCATGGCACTTGCACATCCCATATCTATCACAGAACCTTGTAGGTCACAGGTTAAAATGATTTTTTAATTTTTAATTAAACTTAACCCAAAGTTGTTCCTTCTGACTTCCACATTATTAAACGAGTCATACAAACTAGCAGAATTGTACTATGAGCTGCACACGGTAGCTAACTGTTATCTATAGGTTAACATGGGAGGAAACACCCTCAAAGGCATAATGTGGATGAGAAAGCAAGCATCTTATGTTTCCTTGTCAGTACCTCAGAATCCCAAGGTGATTCTTCATCTTCATCTTCTCCTAATCCTAACGCAGTCATCATTTCTGTAAAATGTGGTCATACATACATACATTAATGAGAATATTTATCACTGATTTCTTTCTTTTTCTTTTCCTTCTCTCTCTCTCTTTTTTTTTTTTTTTTTTTTTTTTTTTTTTTTTTTTTTTGGTTTTTCAAGACAGGGTTTCTCTGTGTAGCCCAGGCTGTCCATCCTGAAACTCACTTTGTAGACCAGGCTGGTCTTGAACTCACAGAGATCCACCTGCCTCTGCCTCCTGAGTGCTGGGACTAAAGGTGTGTGCCACCACTGCCCAGCTTATCACTGAATTCTAAACAGATGCATATTTACCCACATTCATAAAATTACAGTAAAGATAATAGCAAAAAGAAATTTCAGTGGGTTGAAGCAGTTTCAGAAAGAACTGGTAGCAGCAAAAAAAAAAATGAAAAAGAAAAAGAAAAAAGCAAGAGAAAAACTATTAAGAAGAAACGGATACTATTTCTGGATGCAGAACTAGAGCTTTTTATAGCAGTGTTAAAACATGGAAAGTGTTTTAAGTATTCACCAACTCACCACTTTTATTACTTTTGTGCCAACCACTGGCATAGGCTAAATTGCTATGGTTTGGTTGTTCTTGTGAAGCCCTTTCAACAACATCAGCACCATTTTCTTGCGAAGCACTTTCGACAATCTCAGCACCGTTTTCTTGCGAAGCACTTTCAACAATATCAGTATCATTTTCTTGTGAAGCACTTTCAACAATATCAGTACCATTTTCTTCTCTTCCAATTGCAGGCTCAGTTGCTCCTTCCTGTGGGGAAAACATCCAACATCAGTATTTCAGTGCAATTTACAGGGGCTATTTACCGTTTAGTGAAAACGGCAGATCACAATAAGATAAAGGTCGGTGCCTCAGTCTGAGCTGCACCAAATGAAGTGTGGAGGACTTGGCCCACAGACCTGAAGAGTGCTTTAAGAGCAGCATAAGAGGCTGGAGAGAGGGCTCCGCAGGTGAGAGCACCTGCTGTGTTTCCGAGGGCACAGTTATAACTCCCAACACCACATGGGAGCTCAGAACCATCTATGTAAGTCCAGGTCCAGGGCACCTGATGCTTCTGGCCTGCATCCATCCATACATGCGGCACAACGCTCATATAAATAAATCTTAAAAAAGAATATAAACCAATAATTATATGAAAAGAGAAAGGATCCCTCCCCCTCCAATCCCATCTAATCAAAGGGATTCCTGAGCTTTAAAGATAAAGGAATCTACATACCACTGGGTCAGGTGATGAGCAGGATGGAGAAGAGGCCAGGACTCTGGCCGATGTTCCAGGACCAATTTCAACTGCATCTTCATTTTCACTGTTGGAATTACTATTGTCAAACAGGCTACTATTTTCTAGGTTCTCAATGCCACATTTTGTTTCTATTACAAAAAAAAAAAAAAAAAAAAACCATGAAAATATTTACCTTTAAATGAATGAATAGCACAAGAATAGGCCATCTTCAAATGACTTACGGTTTTTCTTAGACTGTTGAGCAGCTGCCCATAGCTCTGTTAAGTTAATTTTGGGGACATTCTAGAAAAACAAAAATAATTTCAAAAATAACATATAATAAAAATAAAACAATTATAATGTTCACTCTTACTATCTGGTTTACTACAAAGAATATATTTCTGAATCCTTTAGATAGATTTAAATATTAATTCTACCATTTACTAACCTAGAAACCTCTACTGCATAAAGATCACGGGATAGGAATATCACCAAAATTTTAATTTCCTTAAACCTGATTATTACATATTTTTTGATCATCTTTAGTGTATTACTTACATGAAAATAACCTAGAACAAAAATTTATTCACAATTTAGAGTACATCTGAAAATATCATTTAAAAATTTTTTAAATACTTTGAACACACCGCCACGACTTATATTTATATGAATTACTTCTAGAGGAGAAACTATGAAGGCTTATTTTTCTGCAGTTTATGGGCAAACAGTGTGAAGTTATTCTATCCTGTGTGCCAAGAAGCAAAATGCAAATTATTATATATATTTAGCTCTTTCTAAGAGAGAAGGAAAAAAAATAAATATTTTTTATTGAGAGGCAAAGACTGACAGAGCCACACATAGCAACTAAAGAGACAAGGTGACTAAACATGCCAACAATGAAGAAAAAGGCACTGATGGAAGACACTGAAGACATGTGACATGTGTTCTGAAGGAAGAGTTTATGCTAGGAATAAGTCATATTAAAAGAGTAAGGGAGGCTGGGCAGTAATGACACACATCTTTCATCTCAGCACTCAGAGCAATAGCTCTCTGTGAGTTCAAGGCCAGCCTGGTCTACAGAGCACAGAGCAAGTTCCAGGGCAGGCTTCAAAGGTACAACAGAGAAACCCCGTCCCAAAAGGAAACAAAACAAAACACACCACCAACAACAACAAGGTGAGGAAGGAACAGAAAGAGTAGATGAGGGAGGAAAAATATAGAATGAGTTTAAGTGAAGAAGAAAAGAGAAAAACTTGTGTTAATTAGGGTTACTATTGCTGTGATAGAACACCATGACCAAAGCCAGTTGGGGAGGAAAGGGTTTCTTTGGCTTTCCCTTCCCTATCTGTTCATTATGAAGGAAGTCAGGAAAGAAACACAAATAGGGCAGAGACCAGAAGGCAGGAGCTAATGCACTGGCCATGGAGAGGTACTGCTTACTAGCTTGCTCCTCATGGCTTGCTCAGACTGCTTTCTTATAGAACCCAGGGATGGCCCCATCTACAATCGACTGGGCCCTCCCCCATCAATCACTAATTTAAAAAATGCCTTATATCCTGACCTTATGGAGGCATTTTCTCAATTGAGGTTTGCTGTGGGACAATGGTGTGTACCCTGTCAATTGTATTTTAATAAAACGCTGATTGGCCAGTAGCCAGGCAGGAAGTATAGGTGGGGTGACCAGATAGGAAGAGGAGGTGGGGCAACAAGAATTCTGGGAAGAAGGAAGTTTCAGTCTGCAGTCATCACCCCGACAGAGAGGAAGCCAGACACAGAGCATGCAAAATGTGACTGCCTTGCCGAAAAAGGTACCAAGCCACATGGCTAACACAGACAAGAATTATGGGCTAATATAAGTTATAAGAATTAATTAATAAGAAGCATGAGCTACTAGGCCAACCAGTTTATAATTAATGTAGACCTCTGTGTATTTCTTTGGGACTGAACGGCTGCAGGACTGGTGGGACAGAAACCTCAGTCAACAGAGGTTTCCTCCTTTCAGACAACACTGGCCTGTATCAAGTTGACATGAAACTATCCAGCACAACAAAAGCCTAAGATTTGTAAAGAAGTATGAGAGCCTTGATTCATAGTACATCCCCACTAATGATTTGTAATTACATTTTATAGACATTACTATAATGAAAAGATTAATTCTGTGTTATAAAATAATGCTTTATTAGTCAATCATGGTTGTCTAACATCACCTGAGAGATGTAACATCATTACAAGATAAAGTAAATACTACAAAAAACAATGCCCCATTAACGTCCTACTTGGAGAAACAGTGCTAATCAAAGTTCAATGGGTAATATATAGCTTCAAAAGTTATTATTTAATCCAATATGGGTAGGCCTCAAAATAAGCTTAGGATATCTTAATCATCTCATTCATAATCGAAATCCACAGTTTCAGGACGGCAGATACACACTGATGCTTTTTTTCCTTTCCATACTTCTTTAATCTGTTTATGGCTTTTTTGGGTTTTTTTTTTACATGACACATTTCCTCAGTGTAGCTCTTAAGAATTTATATCTAAACATCAAAGAATTTATATCTAAACATCAAAAGGGAACATGAAGGTGAGCATGTTTTTAGTAATTCAATAGACTTTATGTTTTTATATATGACATTTCCTCAATACAATGCACCTGAATTTACACTAAAAGGGAATATAAAGGTAAGCCATATTTCTAGAAATTCAATAGACTTTCTTTGGGGTAGAACATCTACTCCTCAAGCATACAGATAAAAACCGGAGTGAAAAAAGTGAGACAACCCTTTCAACACAGACTGTAATAAACAGATTTAAATTAATGTATTTTTACAATTTCTGGTATTAGGTAATTTATATGCAGATTAAGAATATAAAAAGAGAAAAAGATCACCTAAAATCTATATTTTATCTAGGCAGTGACTGTGCACACCTCTAATCACAGCACTCAGGAAGCAAAGAAAAGAAAACAGTGATAGATCACCACTAAATTTAAGAGCAAACACTCAACAAAACAAAAACATTATTTTCACAAAACTGCATTTTACCTTGGTATCAAAACTGTAGTCATCCTCATCTGATGAAGGCCAGGAATCAGCAGGATCGGGTATGCGAGAAGACCTTAGAACAATACCCAACAAAAATTCTAATCAAGTTCTTAAAAGAAATCTAGGAACAAATCAGTGACATCATCGATGTCTGACGTCACTTTTGACTCCAGAACAGAAGAGAGTATGACAACCCAAAGCATGGACAAACCCTGCCCTCCCTGCTCAGACACTCAGTGGGAATAAGGAACGGCGGCCTTGTACTCAGCCTGGAAACCTTCACACCAGGCCTGATGGCACAGGCCTACAATCACAAAGTGCAGCAGACTGCCACAAGCTGAAGGCCAGTCTGATTTACATGGAGAGCTGCAGGCTGAGGAGGGCTATGCGGTAAGACCTAGGACCCGAGAGCGTCCAGGACCTTAAAACAGTACAGGGAATCCCAAGAAATACTTAAAGGGTTTGAAAATTAATTTAAGTTACTTAAGTACAAACTAATAGTGTTGGCAATATATATTCTAGAGATTAAAACACTAAAAACTATAAAAATCCAATTTTTTTTCCCAAATAGGTCATGTCTTGCTTAATTAAGTACACAGAAACCATCAATCCATTGAAAACCATCATAGGTACTGACATATTGTACCTCTTACTTCCTTATGAAGAACCTACATATCTTTATTCCTACAGGTGTCCTCTCCCAGGTCCCTTTTCTGCAAGGCTCAATGGCAATTTTCAACCTTTAAACCTTTGCCTTGCGAAGGCACAGATCCTGAGACAAGGAAGGGCTCAAATGCAGCAAGCAGCAACTCTGTCTTCCTACGAATAACATCGCCGTCACCTGCCACCAACCCGGAAAGAGCTCATGACTGACTGTGCTTCTGGTTAAATCTGCGGTGGCCCACCCATAAGGACATCAATGAGCGGGGAAGAGGCACAGAGGAGGGGACACATGCACTTCCAGTCTGCTGGTACTGAGGGGCCCTGTACTACCTTCTGTGAGCGGGGGTGACGGCAGATGTGGAGCCACATTCCTGCCTGCTGAAGGATGGGCTACCCAGGAGCTCAAACTAGATCTAAGAATTTTCAGCAGAAACCTTCTACGTTTCCTTGAGATTCTGAAATTCTAGAGGTTTTCACTTTGTCTAAAGAGTGTCAGGAATACTTAGCTGACAAAAAGAAAATGGGAAAAAAGAATTTATTTTATTTGAGAAAAATTAGTTATGAGAACTAAATACAAGTTAAAAACAGTTAAAGAAATAAGAGATGAACTAGGAGATGATGCAGTAGTTAAAAGCATTCAATTATGCAAGTGTAAGGACCAGAACTGGGGTCCCCAGAAATCCACATAAATGCCAGAGGGGCATGGCAGCCCATCTGTAACTACAGCCTCAGAAAGTAGAAACAGGATCCCCAAAGCAACTCGGCTTGCAGGACCAGACATAATGGCAAGTTCAGGTTTAAATCTGATACCCCGCTTCAATGAATACAGTTGAAGACCAATCAAGGACAATTCCCATTATCAACCTCAAGCCTTCTCAATATATCCCACTCCTAAAATCATGTCTCTGTCTCTGTCTCTCTATCTCTCTGTCTCTCTATCTCTCTGTCTCTCTCAGAAATCTGTAAGTTGAAAATCAATTTAAAGTATTGTCTAGGACTGAGATTTATAGAAGGCTCATCTAGGATGCACAGAAGCCTGCGTTCAGACTCCAGTATGGTATAAAACTGGCTATGGTGGTTCATACCTATAATCTTCCTGAGATGGAGGCAGGAAGATCAGAAGTTGAAGGACATCCTTGACTATATAGCAAGTTTGAGGCCAACCTGGACTATATGCGACTCATTTCAAATAAATAAAACAGTATTTTTATAATCCTGTAAACAGATCCAAATGTAATTAAAAATATTTTTATTTATTTATTATGTATACAATATTCTGTCTCTGTGTGTGCCTGCAGGCCAGAAGAGGGCACCAGACCCCATTACAGATGGTTGTGAGCCACCACGTGGTTGCTGGGAATTGAACTCAGGACCTTTGGAAGAGCAGGCAATGTTCTTAACCTCTGAGCCATCTCTCCAGCCCCCAAATGATTATTTTTTTAAAGTTTTTTCAAATATTTATTTATTTATTATGCATACAATATTCTGTCTGTATGCAGGCCAGAAGATGGCACCAGACCTCATTACAGATGGTTGTCAGCCACCATGTGGTTGCTGGGAATTGAACTCACGACCTTTGGAAGAGCAGGCAATGCTCTTAACCGCTGAGCCATCTCTCCAGCCCCCCAAATGTAATTAATACAACATAGTCTGCATACTATTCTTCCTTCCAGTCTGAGTTCCTCTCCAGAGCTTGCCTGATTTGGAATGTCTGTGGTCTTACAGTCATAGCTGGGTAAGAGCTATCCTAAAATCTCTGAAGACTGAAAACAAGGCATAGCCTGCCACTGCCACTGTCAAAATGATTAGGGCAAACTCTATGAATATAACTACCTCTAAGGAAGACTTTTGACCAAAGTTAACATAACCGGATTTGACTTTCTAAACTGTCCTGTCTTAAATCTTATCCCAGTGCTGCACAGGCCCCTGTCGATCTATGCAGAGGGGCAGCAGACTGGATTTGGGAGCTGAAGAGATGGCTCAGCAATTAAGAGCACTGGAAGCTTCTCTAAAGGAGCTAAGTTTGGTTTCCAGCACCCACATGGCAGCTCACAACCACCTGTAACTCCAGTTCCAGGGAATCTGACCCCTCATCTGGTCTCCATGGACACCAAGCACACACATGGGACACAGACCTACATGCAGGTAAAGCACTCATAAAGTAATAATTTAAAAAACAGCATAAATAAATAAATGAACCCTTTTTCTAAAAAAAAAAAAGATAGACTGACAGTAAGGTACCAATAAACCATGAGATCATAGGCTAAGTAACCCTTCTGAGTGGCTGCTGCCTAGTGAGTCGGAAGGAAAGCAGAATGTGGGTATGGGGGTTAACAACAACAGATACTTTGCAAAACTCTTGCGACTACTGTAGAAATAAGTGTTATTCACACCACACAGTATACTTATCTGCTCACAGCAGAACACTTAACAAATCTTAGTTTCTATCCCCTGCATTCTCTAATCAGTTAACATTTAATTTTAACTATGTTATATATTCCTACCCACCTGCTTAAAGATTCATCTTCAGAACCGTTATCCACTGTTGAAGAAAAATAAAAAATACATTTTAAATTAACAATAGAAAAATGTAAATTAATATGTGTTGTCATTATTCAGCTTTCTCTTTGGTACCACACCAGAGGCTATCCTACAATGAATACTAATACTACTACTGATTAGGTAATTAATTCATTAAGAATGCTTGTCCCTCCTTCTTCGTATTCATCCAATCCAAGAAAGAACAGAATGTATACAAATCCGATACCGAAAGGAAAACTGCCGGGATATGCCCACAGTCCTAACTGAACACTACCAGAGCGACAGCAGATGGCACAATTAGCAGGATCCACATCACATGCAGGGCTTCTCTGGACTAACAGCACTGGGAACAATTGTGGGAGTAGTTATGTTGTTGTGACGCAGTACGGCTTTCCCAGGTTTTTAGTCAATACTGCAGTGAGGATAAAAAACCCTGGTACAAATAAGCACACTCTAGGAGCACTGTGCAATTTTAATGTATAAAAATAAGGCTATTAACTCAAGCTTTCAGAATGTGACAACTGGTTTTCCCTGGTAAAAGAAAAATAAATCTTATTCCAAGATGGGCCTGGTGGTGTGGTGGAAGCAAGGGTACCTTAAACGGCTATATTCAATCACCTTCGTACCGAACTTAATGTTTCAAACACCAGGAAACTCATTCGCTGTATTATCCAACCACGCAACTATGCAGGAAAAAGTATAATTATGAAGACAGTAAAAAGAGCAGTGGCTGCCAGGGGGTGGGGTCCGGGAGAGAGAAACAGTAGCAGTCCAGGGAATATTTAGGACAATGGAATTATTCTGAATGTGATGATGCTACAGTGGTAACTACACGTCATACACTGGCCTACAGCCATTGGATGTACAAGACTAAGAGTGAAGTCTCGTTTACACTAGACACACTGGAGTACGATGATGTCAGTGTAGGGCTAGCAGTTTCAGCAGGTGTACGCACTACTAGGTAATGACAATGCGAGAGCCTATGTATGCGTGGCTATATGGGAATTCTGTTCCTTCCTGATAGTTTTGCTGTGAACCTGAAAGTTCCCTCAAAACTAAAGGTTCATTCTTAGCACAAGTGCGTACACACACATACAAATGCACATACACAGGGGGAAAAAGAAAAAAGAAGTTATTTATTGCTTGAAAAAAAAGCAAGCCTAAGCCGGGCGGTGGTGGCGCATGCCTTTAATCCCAGCACTCGGGAGGCAGAGGCAGGCGGATCTCTGTGAGTTTGAGGCCAGCCTGGTCTACAAGAGCTAGTTCCAGGACAGGAACCAAAAAGCTATGGAGAAACCCTGTCTTGAAAAATAAAAAAAAAAAAAAAAAGCAAGCCTACTATGAAAAGAAGGGACAATACTGGTATCCTCTTTTAAACTGAGGACTCTGAAAACACACAGAACAATTTTAATTCCACACCGAGCGGAGATATTGGTAAAAATCAGTGAAAACATACTGTACCTACTTCTATACTTTATTAGTGACTCCAACAACTAGATAAAATTCTCTTAATAAGTGCAAGCTATTTGCTGTAAAATCCATTCTGATGCTAAGTGCAACCTGCCGCAATGTGGGTGGGGGAAAGACCAGCATAATAACTGAAAATCATCTTCCCAGTGGATTTCAGGGACCAACATTAAATGATCTAATTTTTCAGGAATAGTTTTAGTCTGCAAATTTCCTTTAACTAATTTCTTATATAATCCTCACTTCTAGACTGAGAATAAAGGAAAAAGTACAAAGGTCACTTACATTTTTGTTTATACTGCTCTTCTGGGGTCTAAACTTTCTGAACTGCACATGTTCACCCAGGGAGGCCACAAAGAGAGACTCTGCATGAGGAATCTTACCTGGATTGCTATTTTCAGAATTTTTTTGTCTCTTCCCATCATATTCAAATATTTGTCTGTTGCTATGTTAAAAAAATGACAAAAATTACTATTTTAATCCTGAAAAGCACAATTACTAAATATATTAATTAAATTCATAACGATATTACAATCAAAATCAGAGCTAATAACAGAACCATATCCCACGTGATTCAAATGTAGCTCTTCAAGCTTTTGAATGTGCTTTCAATAAAAAAAAAACAAAAACCCACAGGTGAAATAGTGAAGAACTGAAGGACAGTTAAACCAGAATGGTTGGGCAGAATGTATAATGATGTGTTATTTATGTTTTAATAACTGAAGCTTGCCTAAAGATCAGAAGGGCAAAGCTAAACCATTAGGGGTCAGGCAGTGGTGGCACACATATTTAATCCCAGGATTTGGGAGACAGAGGCAGAAGGATCTCTGAGTTCAAGGCCACCCTGGGCTACACAAGATCAATACTGAAACAGATCCAGGTGGTGGTACCTCACACCTTTACTCCGAGTACTAAGGAGTTATACACCTTTATCCCAGCACTAGAGGGAAAATAAAGTGAGAGGAGAGAGGCTTAGTCTACTTAAGTCTGCGGTCGCCCAGCCTTGGTAGAGGTAAGACTTCTCTAGTGGCTTGGCTGCCTTGCTTTTCTAGTTTTCAGGTTGAAACCCAGTATCTGTCTCTGGGATTTTATTATTTGTGCTACAAGAATGGAAGGTACCCTCAGCACAGAGCCCCAGCCCTGGAGGTGACAGTTAACTCTTAGGCAGCACATTCTCTTAGGCTGAATGCCCCCTTTCAAATATTATGGAATGTAGTACTTTTGGTTACTCAGTTCCTCTGAAGATCCATAGAGAAAATATAAATACATGCCCAGCTATTCCGGAGTTCTAAGCAGAATCTAAAGGAGTGTGTGTGTGTGTGTGTGTGTGTGTGTGTGTGTGTGCGCGAGTGTGTGTGTTCACAGGTTCTAATACAAAATCCTAAGGTTTACCTTGATCATTAGCACTTCAGTTCTTTGTGACTGTTTGTGCCAAGTCAGCTACACCGTGAATTGAACTAAATGTACTGGCAAACATTTCATTAAATTAGGTAAATGCTTCCTACGACTGAACTAATAAATCATACCAAGGGCAGAAAACATAAAAATTAAGACTTGGTTTGGACACTATTCCTTATCTGTCTACTCCAACTCTGAACCAGTAGTTCTCTCTTAAACAACGCTTAATTTCTACATTTATCGCTAACAAGTGTGGAAGACAAATTGTTATATGTGGTTGGGCGTGAGGAGGACCTGGGTCCTGGAGGAGTGTAATCTTCCTTGATTTAGAGATGTCTGCTGAAAAGCTTCCTTTTTATCCATATCTTAAACACTTTGAAAAGCTAAGGCAGATCCGGGAGCTTTCTGGCCAGCCTGCCTGGCCCAAAAGATGAACTTCTGATTTATCACTCTCCACCCTACTCCTTTAAAACAGGCTCTTTCACCAAACCAGCAGTGCTTTTGGGTGGTTAGCCAAAGCTAGGCAGGCTGGCCAGGAAGGCCCCAGGATCTGCCTGCCTCTGCCCTGTCTAAGCTAGGGTTACAGACACACACAGCCTCGCCCGGCCATTTACACAGGGGCTGGAGATCCTAACTACGATGCTCCTACTGGCACAGCAGGCACTCGTACCCACTGGGCCATCTCCTCGGCCCTGGAATAATACAAAGGGCGAATTATCCTCCTTTCCATAAGACAAAGCTAGGAGTTGAGCTTGGGAATATGTGCATCTAAAACTATCTGCACATGTATGTATTATTCTCATTATTATCCACCAATGACTTATTTTCACTAGAGAACAAGATTAACCATTTCAGATTATCCCTTTCCCTCTGCTCGAGCTAATTAAAACAATGTTAGCTTATTAGAAACAAAAGAGGAAAAAATGAACAGCATGTAATGACGATCAAACACTTGGCAACCTAACATCAACATTCTCCACAAAAGTAAGTGAAGACAAAAAATGCAAAGAAGGAATAATTTGCAACTTCTACTTAGGCTCAACTTCTACTTAAAAGGAATATATAAGTAATTAAGAATTCAATGTTGATTCTGAAAGCAAACTAAAGGTTTGTAGAACTAATGTGAAATTGGTATAGCTAATAACAAATCAGGCTACAACATCACTCATTAAAAGAGAACACGGATCCCACTACAGGCTGTGCTTCCTAGTCTGAACAACTGCTTGTCTACCAAACTAATGTGGGTATTGATGTTTTTTCAACATCTTAGTACTTAAGTTAATCTTCTTAATATGTATTTGAGTGGTTGTTAACATGCCACAACATCAATTTTTGCTTGTTTGTTTAGTGTTTGTGGTATATGCATACATGTGTATGTTATATGTTGTGTGCACACGTGTGGGGGTGCATGGTGTATGAGTACATGTGTGTTGTGTGTGGTGTATGGTGTATGTGCACATGTGTGTTGTGTATGCACACATGTGTGTGTGGTGTACGGTGTATAAGTACATGTGTTGTGTGTGGTATATGGTGTATGTGCGCATGTGTGTTGTGTATGCACACATGCGTGTGTGGTGTACAGTGTATAAGTACATGTGTTGTGTGTGGTATATGGTGTATGTGCGCATGTGTGTTGTGTATGCACACATGTGTGTGTGGTGTACGGTGTATGAGTACATGTGTGGGTGGTATATGGTGTGTGCGTACACGTGTGTGGTATATGCAAACACGTGTGTGTAGTGTATGTTGTCTGTATATGTGTGTGGTGCATGGTGTATGAGTACATGTGTATTGTGTGTGATATACTGTGTATGTGTACATGTATTTGGTGTATGCATGTGTGTGGTGTATGAGTATATGTGTGTGTGGTATATGGTATGTGTGTACACGTGTGTGGTATATGCACGTGTGTGTACGTGGAGTATGTGTATGTGCATGTGGTATATGAAAATATGTGTGTGTAGTGAGTGTATGTTGTGTGTGGTGCATGGTGCATGAGTACATGTGTATTGTGTGTGATGTATGGTATATGTTTACGTGTATTTGGTGTATGCATGTGTGTGTGGTATATGGTGTATGTGTACACATATGTGGTGTATGCACATGTGTGTGTGTGGTGAATGAGTAGATGTGGTTATAGTATATGCGTACATGTGTGTGTGGTATGTGGTGCATATGTTCATGTGCAGGTGTGCACACATGCAAAGATCAGAGAAGGCTATTACATGGCTTCTTCTACCATGCTCCACACTGAATCTGAACTCCCCCAGTCCGCCTTGGCTGGCACACTTCTCTCCACTCCCCATCATTTGGGTTCTAAGCATGCATGGCCATGCCTGGTTTTCCTTGAGTGTTAGGGATTTAGACACAGAGCAAGCACTCTCAAAGGAGTCATTCCCCAGCCCCAACTGCTTCTTGAAAGAACAAACTACTGTACCTTCCCAGCTGATCAACTGCATGACAACTGGTTTTTTTCTTTACTAAAAATTCCACAATATGCTGTTTATTTTCCTTTACAGCAAGTAACAGAGGTGTGAGGTCATCCTGTAAGACATTGAGAGCAATGAGTAATTCACAAATTGCTGACTTCTCAACTTCACTGTGCTTAGGAATCACGTGAGCGCAATCCAGCCAACCCCGCATCTCTTGAGGGCAAGTGATCCTGTCTCTTCTGTTTCCGCAGCTCTAAAAGAACTACAACTTTTAAATGTCACCGAATTACAGAGCAAAATTACTATTTAATAAACTGCACAACAGTGTGTGGCATGCTGGTAGTGAGGGAAATCTCCAACTTTATTCGATTTTTATTTGAAAATATTTTCTTTGTGGCAAACATTAACACTGAAGGAGTAAGTCAGGGAAGTGGGCTCAAAAGCTTTGTAAGACTGTGAAGTTCCCACTAGGCCAGCGGTGCTCAACCTGTGGGTTGTGACCCCTTTGGGGTTGCATATCAGAGAGATATTTGTATGATGATTCGTCACAGTGGCAAAATTATAGTTATAAAGTAGCAATGAAATAATTTATGGTTGGGGTCACCACAACATGAGGAACTGTATTACAGGTTGGAAAGCACTGCCCTGGGCTATGCAAACTTGCTGCTTCTCATCTGTTTACCATCCAGGATCCCAGAATCCAGTGTCTGATATTCCTGCTCCAGGGAGTCACAACGGAAATGGCACTGAATAAGAAGACAGAGGCGCAGATGGACAGACACGATCTATGGGTTTTCTCTTATCATCTGAAGGAATGCTGTTCCCCTTAGACAGCGCAGGAGGGTAGGTCTTGCTTTGGAAGATCCTGGATATCTGTTCACATCTACTGGCTTTCATTTGTTTTCACTCTGGTATCACTGTAATCGAGACTCACGGTTTTTGTTTCTGCCTTTAATTTTAGGAAAACTATAAATCAACAGTAGAAATGTAACGCTTATGAACCAGTGGAGTAGACAAAGGTGCTGAAATGAACACTAGTGGCAAGAGTAATCTGTTCAATGAAATTATAACAACAAAAATCCTAAGTCTAAGAAAAGGTGTTCAAAAACAAGAGGCATCAATGACATGACAAGAGAAGACCTGCCCCACGACCTATAATAGTCAAGATATCAAAACACGAAAAAAACAAACAATATGAAAAGTCGTATGGGAAAAACAGCAACTGAGTTCCAAAGGAAACATGTCGGATCTGTCATCAGTAATCTTCAAGCCAGGAGAGCTGTATGAATATCAGGAACAATTATCTCAAGCCCTGGAAGTAGGAACTGCTGACTAGACAGCTCTATCCAGCAAGGCTCCAGCAAGGCTGTCATTTATAGTACTGAGAAATAAGAACACTTCACGACAGGCACACGCTAGGCAATCCACAACAAGGAAGCCACCGCTATAAAACTTCCTTACAGGAGGCTGGCAAGATGGCTCAGTGGGTAAAAGTACTTGCCATGCACGTCTGGAGACCTGATCCCACAGTGGGAAGAGAAAATGGACTCCCAAATTCCTCAAGAGGAACAGGTGAACAGGAGAACTATCACGCCCAAAACAGCAGAACAGAAGACTCGTAAGATTAACAGGTGGCAGATAAAAGAACAAGCAGCAATCTGATCACAGAAAAACCAACAGAATTACAACAGATATAAAATGTCAGATTTTGATAACAATAACAGTGGGTGATTTCAACACCCTGCTCTAATCTTTAGATAGTTCACTTTCACTAAAGATCACGAAGGAAACTTCAGAGTTAAAGTACACCACAGCTCAAATGCACTTAATGCATCTCCACAGATGATTTCCCACAACTGATATGGAATACACATTCTTCATGCAGCCTATGCAAACTTCTCTAAAACAGACCTCATTCTAGACCAAATCAAGTCTAACAATAAAAAAGAAAATTTCTTGTATGATCACAGTGAAATAAAACAGAAATCAAAAGCAAGGAAACTACACAAATATCCGGAGACTGGAGAAATAGGGGGTGGGGGGGGGTGTTAAGTTTCTAGAATCAAATGTAAAAGGAAACACAATTCACCGACCCTTTGGGACACTGAAGGAGGCTCCAAGAGGAGTGCTTACAGCTTTGAGGGCTTACGTAGAAAACTAGAGCGCTCTCAATCAAATAGCCCAGTGATGTAAGTCACAGTCTCAGAAAAGCAAGAACGACCTAGACAAGGATAAGAGGTGTTGGGTCCCTGGAACAGGAGTTATGGATGTGAGCCACCTTGTGCTGTGGGAACAGAGCTTGGGTTCTTTATAAGGCAATGACTGCACTTCATCTCTGAGCCATCTCTCCAGAACCCTCAAACATCTGGTTTTTCGAAAGGGTAAAAAGGGAATCTTTTAAAAATGCAGTTGTCTGAGTGGGGGTGGGGGGATGGGTCAGCAGGTAAAGGCTCTTATTGCCAAGTCTGTCAATCCAAGTTCAACCCTGAGACCCACACGGTAGAAGGAGAAAAGCAACTCCCCAAAGTTGTCCTCTGATCTCCACGTGCGCGCGCACGTACACACACACACACACACACACACACACACACACACACACACACACACACACACCCCTCCTACACCCACAAATAAATAAACAAAATAAGAAGACGAGGAAATGGTTTAATCAGTGAGTTTCTGATACTGATCGAGGGCTCTTTTCATCACAATGAAAGCACCCTTAAGAGGGCAACTATATTCAAACTTAGATTCCACCCATGGTTTAAAACACTGATTAGATCTAGAGTCCTCACGATCTAATCATTTCTACAAATACCCTCACAAAAACCCACAGAAGTATGTTTTCTCAATCTGATCATGGTGACATCACAATCTGTCACTGGTAAATGTACTTTGATTACTAGGAAATAAAATCAGTATCATACCTTGTTTTTGGCTTCCATATTTGCATTGTGTGCAAGCAGTTTGGCCACTATGGATGTGTTCTCACTGAGGACGGCATAGTGGAGGGCAGTGTTGCCGTTGCTGTCCATCACATCCGGATTGGCACCATGCTCCAGCAGTATAGTGGCACATTCTTCTTCTTGGCACTGTACGGCCTGTTGTTATTGCATCAAGAAACAGATAGTTTAGGAGTTCAAAATAAGCAGACTCTAGGTTTTACTTATTGCTGTATTCAAATGAAACTGATTTCTTTTTGTCCGAAGCACTTAAACCAAACCCGTCTCCGTTTGACCTGCTGGGTGCTATGTACCTTAATGAGCGCCGTGCTGCTCTCGCCGTCACGGGCATCGATCTCACACTTTCTCTCTACTAAGAGAGTCACCACTTCTGGATGGCCGTAAGCACAGGCAAGATGGAGCGCCGTTCTGTGAAAACGAGAGCACTTTTTAGTAAATTACAGAGCATTATCTAAAAGCGTATCTCCTGTAATGTAAACACTAACCAGTATGGTATGTCTCTTCTTTCCAAGCAAACAATTCTCTTCTGGCAGCAGTCCGCTCACAGACAACCTACTGGATTTGTGTGTGTGGCTACGTAAACAATTGCCGAGCGAGGTTCCTTAGCCCAGAGCAGCCAATGTGCAAAGAAGTACAGCCTTTGGATTGAGCTTGACTTGGGTACCAATACTCTTTAAGGTCTGCTATTTATCAGCCATCACTTAGCTTTTCTCTGCCTCAATTTTCCCACCCATAAAATGGACAAAGGCATTTGACACAAGCTTCATGACCCAAGTTCACACCCTAAATCCCAAGTTAAACGGAGAACTGATGCCTGAAAGTTGTCACCTGGCCTCTACATGCACAGCACACACGCAAACACACAAACACATGCAAACACACACCCCACATTAATATCAAATTAAATAAAACCTTAAAAATAGTAAGTCATCTCATGAATGCCACTGTGATACTTAAACAAGAATCTATACAAAGTATCTAAAATGCTTTCTAACTCCTGTACCATAATAACAGTTATTATAACTATTTCTATTATTTTACAAAGACAACATTGTAATGAAATAAAAGAACACAATGACACCTGCTTAGACAAAATGTTTAATCCCAGCACTCAGGAGGCAGCAGCAGGTAGATCTCTAAGTTTGAGGTCAGCCTGGTCTACAGAGTAAGTTCTAGGAAAACCAGGGCCACACAGAGAAACCCTGTCTAGAAAAACCGAAAAGCATATGATGCTCTGTAGTTAAAGCTTGTGCTGGTCTCCTAGCAGACCTCAGTTTAGTTCCACACCTACGTCAGGCTGTTCACAACAACCTGTAACTCCTGCTTTGGGTACCTGGCACCCTTTCTGCCCCTGCAGATACCAGTACACATATGAAGCATGCACGAGTGCACACACACACAGAATATTTAAAAAGAAAGAAGACAGAATGACAGTCCTGGCCACAGGGCAAGCCCACAGTTCACGTCTGCTTCAAATCTGTGTGGGAGTGAGGAGTGGGGTACGACAGTGATTGCTCCAGGGTGACAGGCCAGCACTGAAGAAAAAAAAAATCTATTTTGTTGCCTCCCATTTCTTTGAGTGATACAACCAGGTTCCATCTTGAGCGTGGGCTATTCTGGTTATCTGAAAACAAGAAGCAGTTACAACCCAGGGAGCCTGGGGGCCATGAAGCCACAGGGTCTGGGTAGTAGACAGTCGCAGGATAGGCAGAGAAAGAAAGTAAGTCCCTATTGCTGAAGACACCAGGCACTTCAGACATAGGGTCCAGAGGCCCCTGAACTGGAACTGACCTGAATACCTCCTCCCCAAGGACTATGGTCCCAGAAGGAGCCATGTCAGCTTCCAAAGGAGAGAAGCAACCAACAGTCCTACCCAGTTAAGACACCCGTGAAACATAAGCACTACGTGTACAGTAGTGGCACACACACCTTGATAGTAACCAACAGCTCACTAATCGAATCAGGCCCATCCAACATGAGGAAAACCATGCCTGGTACTGGAAATCTAGCCAACTAGATTTAGTTTACTAGTGATTCTGGTAGTGATCATGGATCCTGAGTGACGTCATGGATCCTGGAGAAGACCCTACAACCACTGCTTTGCTAAACCAGCACAATCCCTAACCACATTCTAGATATTTGTCCTTATACCCAAAGGTAAGTGTATGCAGACTTCTCTTTGGAACAGACTATTACATAAAACCACAACCAGCCAAAATGAAGAGTTGTGGAGTCCAGTCCCAATGCATACATCTACAAAACAATTGTTTCATTACAGAGGAGGGGTAAAAAAAGATTTTAAGAGCCAAAGGAACAGGGAGCTTTGTTATGGTTTAGATTAAAACGGTGCCATTCCCCAAGGGGCCTGCGGGCCACAAGGGGCAGCAAGTCCCAGGCAGGTAGCTGAGTGGAGGTGTGAGCCACTGGGCGGGTGACAGACAAAGACATCATGCAGAGAAAGTGGGTATTTATTTAGTGAGTTATGGAGGGGAAAAGAAAAGAGGGGAAGGGGAGAAGGGAGAAGAGCAGAAAGAGAGAGAGAGAGAGAGAGAGAGAGAGAGAGAGAGAGAGACAAGTGGGGAGAAGAGAGGCAGAAGCTGCCTCTTCAGGAGAGAGATGGAAAGGAAGGAGCTCAGGCTGCAACCAGAAGGAAGGAAGATGGGGGGGGGGCTTGTCTCTTAAAGGGACAGGACAGACCATTACAAGCTTACTTGAGATTGTCTCCCAGAAATGTCAGACGCTATCTGCACCCATAAAGTCTCACCAATATGACTGGCCAAATGAGAACTGAGCAAGGACAACACCAATGGATGTGTCAAAGTGGATGGGGAAGAGCCTGTGGAACTATAGGCAACTGAGGAAAGCTGGGAGTGGGGGGGGGGGTCTTCCCCAAGGAAGAGCACACAGGTTGTCAGCCCTAAATACATACATATGAATAACATCATACAGACTGGGCAGGTTATAATTAGAAATACATATGTATACATATACAAATATGCATGTAACAACAATTAACGAAAAGACAAGGCCACGAATTTGAAGTAGAGCAAGTGAGGTTATATGGGAGCATTTCAACGGAGGAAAGAGAAGCGGGAAATGATGTAGTTATAATAAAAAATGGTAACTTTTATTCTTTATCACATTTTAAATATATTATGGTTAAGTCAGAGCATACCTTATGTGTGTATATGTATAATCAAACTGATGTCTTCTTACTTGATGTACCATCTTCCCATGTTAATCTGTGTCTACATCTACACTACCTTCAGGGCTCATATATTCCATCTAATGGATGCACTGCAATTTATTTATGAAATACATTTTCCAGCTTCTTCTTAATACACTGCTATTTCAAGCAGTGCCAAGAAAGAGAAACTGCCTCCTTATTTCCCAAATATGCTTTAGGGACAGAAACATGTTTAAGGGGGGCAGACTACTTACTGCCAGTTTGCCTATTTGAAAAGTCTTAAGCAGAAGTTGCGCTGTTCTTCACCCTCATACAGTGAGTCCCTGAAAAGTGACATTTCATTTCTCTCTTGACTTACTTTCCTGCTCTTACCACGGACGAGGAAAATTTTTCTAATGTCCATAGATTACTTATAGATCTACAAAAAGAAAAAAAAGGAAGGAAGGAAGGAGGAAGGGAGGGAGGAAGGAAGGGAGGGAAGGAGAAAGAAAAAGAAAAAAGGGCAACAACTTTATATAAATTAAATTAAGAGTTCAGGGGCTAGGAATCCAGCTCAGCTCCAGAGAACTTGCCTGATATTTGCAAGGTCATGTGTTTGATCCCCAGCAAAAATATACAAATGACTAAATTTAAAAAAAAATAAGAGAGTTTGAGTTTTTCCTCATTGAGTTAAAAAAATTCTCTGTAAGATGAAGATGGTTTTCATGTGATATTCACACACACACACACACACACACACACACTGAATGCTTTGCAAGTTTACAGTTGCTTTATCCTCGCTGTGTTTAGTCAGTTCTTGAGAATGCTCCATTTCAGGCTTTTACAAAGCTCAAAGGTAGACTGTATCCTGAGCATACATCACAACCTGCATTCAGTCCCCAACAGATACAGACATGTACACAGGCATATAGACACACATACGTGACGCAGTGGTTTTGTAGTCATTCTTAGTCTTGTTTTGGTACTTTTCTCATTATGTTTTATTAACGTTTAAATTATAATCTATCAGGAATTTATTTTAGTGACATAAACCTGCAGTTAGTTTTCTCCAAACAAGTTAACAAGCATTTTATTCACGAATGATGTTTCCTACTAATAGGGGTGTTACCAGAATCAATTTCTAAATTCTTACAGATATTCGATTGGGTACTTCTAGGTTTTCTATTCTGCTCTATTCACTGATGTGTCTCTTGGCTGCCAGTAAATGACCGATGTGTGAGAACTAATGTTAGGTTTTGATACTTTAGAAAGGTTTTTTTTTTCCTAGTCTCATAACAAAATAAAAAGCAGCATGAGAAACTCAAAATTGTTAAAACGATGATATTCTTATTTGGCTTATGTAAAATTGATAAGGATACGGAGTTCACATTCTGGGAATTATCCATCCTCTATTTGAGAACATGGAACTATTTTCCCACTTCAAAATGCAGCAAAAAAAAACATAGTCACACAGGTATGTGTTGATATGTTATTGGATATTACTGGAAGAATCGTTAACCCTCAACAGAAACATTTCTCCCATTATGTATTTTTTACAATGTAAAACAATTTTAAATGTGTGCAAAAAATTAAATTGTTTAGTTAATGCACTTTACACAGCCAATAAAGGGAACTTTAAGTGGATCAGAAGTCAGCTAGAGTGTTTTCTATTGTAGTCTTTACTGCTCATATAGGAGCGGGTCCCAGATCCCACAGAGGCTCTAGCGTCCAAAAGAAAGATGGGAAGAGTCAAGCTTCCTTAGTGACAGCCAGCAGCCTCTGTTCCAGACAAGGTGCGAGCTCCGCCACCAGCCACGTCCCGCCCCGCTAGCTCGGGGCCCTATTTATTACCTGTCCTTCTTGTCTCTATCGTTCACGCCACTTTTCCCAAGGATAAGGATATGCTGTACTTTGGCTACGTCACCCACGCTTGCAGCCTTGTGGATCTTGCCCATATCCTTGTCGTGAATGTGGTACCTGGGCATGTGGGCGCCACGAGCACTCTCACGCCCAAAGCCCACGCAGTTGTTCCGCGGGCGAGCAGAGGGGCCTAACGGCGACGGGCCCTTACTTCTGAAACCAAAAATCTTCTTCATGGCAAGGGGGTACGCCCCTCACAGGCACCTTCTCCGCGCGTGGCTTCGGCTGCCTCCACAACGCAGCCCTAGCGTCTACTGAAGAGCCAGCCAAGTTTCACGGAGTCCCAGCAGGAAAGTCGCTGCATGGCTCGGCAGGGTTTTAAAGCACGATAATCGCCAAGCAAAGCTGCAAACTAGCAACCCGCGCCGGCTAGTCCCCGCGCACGCGCATACTGGCCCGGCCCAGCCGGTGCCCAGCACGCACGCGCAGAGCCAGGCTCCGCCCTCTACTCTTCGCGGACGTCAAGCAGCTGCCAAGTTGGTTCTCTAGCCTTGGGCTTTCGCCCGAGGTTTGCAGTGTCTTCCCTAGCCGTGCAGGTCTATCCTCAGCTAGTGTGGCCTGCCGGCCAGCCTCAGCTTCGGGATCCCCGCAGGGCTCCTGTTCCGACAGGAATCCGAGCGAGGACCCAGCACTCCAGGCTTCCTGGGCGTCTGCAGAAGAGCCTAGAACCTTCTTGACCCGCTGAAGGCCTGCTTCCCTGCTTAGCTTTGGCCTTGTGTTTCAGTGGCAGTTATAAGGTCCTTGGGGGGCAGGCAGGCGACTCTTTTAACCAAAGGTGGACCAAACTACAGGCAGCATGGATGGAATTATAGCATGAGAAACGAAGGGAAGAGATATTTTTTGTCAAGCTAATCCATTAAATATTTGGGAATTAGTGAAATATGGTTGTTTTTCATAGCCCAGAGAGTCAATGTATGAATTACACAAGCTGATAGCAGGTGAAGATGTCTGCATATGGGGCCTGAATGAAATAATGTGACCTTAGTTTTTGGTTTTGGACTTGGGAAAAGTAATTCATAGTAAACAGTTTTCCCAGTGGAAACATCTGCTTTGACGTTTTAAAATCCTAATAATTTTGCCAATCTAGAAACAGCTCACTTCAAAGGGTGTGGTAGCTAGTGTTAGATCAAGTTGGCACACAAACTAGCATTATTGAAGAGGAGGGAACGTCAATTGAACAAAATGCCTCCATAAGAGTGAATGTAAGGCATTTTCTTAGTTAGTGATTGATGGAGGAGGGCCCAGCCCATTGTGAACAGTGCCATCCCTGGACTGATGGTCCTGGGTTCTATAAGAAAGCAGGTTGAGCAAGCCAGTAAGTAAGCAGCAGCCTTTCATGCCTCTGCAGCATCGGCTCCAGCCTCCATGTTCCTGGGCTGTTTGACATGTCGTCCTGAGGTTCTTTGATGGCAAACAGCAATATGGAAGGATGAGCTAAGTAAACCCTTCCGTCCCCAACTTGCCTTTTGTCCATGGTGTTTCATCGCAGCAATACAAACACTAGGACAAAGGGAATAAAATATCATTAATTTTGGAGCCAAATCTTACTGCGCAAGTTTCAGGAACACAGGTTCAGGTTACCCCAAATTCCGTTCTATGTTCTAATTTTAAGAAGTTGTATAAAAAGAGAATAAATCAACACACTTTTCAAATACATTGGTGGGTACATCAGGTAGGTAGGTTTTTAGCAACACTGGAGATGGTGGTGACTGTGTTATTCTCCTCAGATGCCTTTTGATGGATTTCTTAGCCCTTCTGATTGATGGAAACAGACTGATTGTGAACATTCCAAAGATTTTACCTAATGGTAACAAAGGTTAGGTCCCTCACATAGCAGAACAAGATGTCTCGATGTAATTTGGCTCTGGATTTTGCAACATTCAGAGCTCTTTGCTGCTGTAGTTCTGGTCAGTCGGTCTTGTGCTCACTGCTTCTTTCTGGAAATTCTGCTACACAGGGTGGGGCCTATTTTACATGCTGTACCCTGTTCATAATGATTTGACTATTGCGAATTTAGTTTTTGTAATAAAAATTGAAATAATCTCTACTGCTACTGATCTTATATGTGTATGGAGGAGGGGGAGTCTCACTCTAGCGGGAGCTGGCCTTAAACCTACAGTTATTCTCCTGCCTCTGCCCTGGAATGTTGGTGGTATGGGTGTCAACTGCTGCTCCTGCCTTCTATTGCTCAGTCACACTTCTTTGGACCGTGCTCTGAATCTTTTTCTATCCACTAGTGCTTCTCTGTAATAACCTCCATCTGCTGCAAAAAGGAGCTTCTTTCAGGAGTGTTGGGACTAATTGGAGTCCTGGCCTTCAGCTGTTCTTCCCTGCTAGAACCTTCTAATTGAAGTTACTAAAAGCTGTGCCTTGCCTAGAGGATCAGAGGATGGGATTTTCACCTGTTGACTGGGTATTTACGTCTCCATGGTGCTATTAAAGAGGGGCTTTTGTACCAGTGATTGGAGGTCCGTGTGTCTGTCTGCCTCTGTGTTTCCTCAACCTCCAGCCCCTTGCCCGAAGCTCGCGAACTGATTGTCGCTCATAGAGTGCAGACGGGGGCGCGGTGTGTGGCACAGGAGAAGTGAGACTTACACCCATCTGTGGGTCTAAAAGTATTTAGAATGAAGGTGGGGGAGGGCTAGAGAAATGACTCAGCCAACAAGAGAACCTGCCTTCACTTCTCAGCACCCACATGATGGTGGCTAGCAGTGCTCTGTAATATCATTTCCAAGGGATGTGGTGCCCTCTTCTGCCTTCCATGGGCACTGCGCAGACATACATGCAAACAAAACATTCATACACAATCCATCAAGAGGAAATCTCAATACTGAACGTCTATGCCCCAAATACAAGGGCACCCTCATTTGTAAAAAACGCTACTAAAGCTTAAGTTACACATTAAACCCCATACACTAATAGTGGGAGACTTCAACACCCCACTCTCAACACTGGGCAGGTCTCTCAGAAAATTAACAGAAAAATAAGGGAACTAACAGATGTTATGAATCAATTGAACTTTGCAGACATATAAAGAACATTCCATCCAAACAGAAAAGAATATTCCTTCTCAGCACCTCATGGAACCATTTCTATAATTGACCACATACTATGTAACAAAGTAAACCTCGACAGATAACAAAAAAATGAAATAACTCCATGTATCTTATCGGATCACCATGGCTTAAAATTAGAATTCAACAGCAACACTAATTTCAGAAAGTCCACAAACACATGAAAATTAAACAACGTTCACATGAATCATCAATGGGTCAAAGAAGAAATAAAGGAAGAAATTAAAAACTTCCTAAGATTTAATGAAAATGACCACACAACATACCCAAATTTATGGGACACAATGAAAGCAGTGTTAAAAGGAAAGTTCATAGCATCAAACGCCTACATACAGAAACTGGAAAAATCCCACACTAATGAGTTAACAGAACACCTGAAAACTCTAGAACAAAAAGAAGCAAACTCACCCAGGAGGACTAGACGGCAGGAAATAATCAAATTGAGAGCTGAAATCAACAAAACAGAAACAAAGAATGAGACAATGAGTTGGTTCCTTGAGAAAATCAACAAAATAGACAAACCTTTATCCAAACTAATCAAAAGGCAGAGAGAGATTATCCAAATTATCAAAATCAGAAATGAAAAGGGCGACATAACAGACACAGAGGAAATCCAGAGAATCATTAGATCCTATTTCAAAAACCTGTACTCCACAAAATTGAAAAACTTAAAGGAAATGGGACAATTTTCTGGGTAAATATCACTTATATAAATTAAATCAAGACCAGATAAGCAAATTAAATAGAACTATAACTGCTAATGATATAGAAACAGTCATCAAAAGTATCCCAGCCAAAAAAAAAAAAAAAAGCCTAGGGTCAGGTGGTTTCAGCACAAAATTCTACAAGATTTTCAAAGAAGAACTAATACCCATACTCCTCAAATTGTTCCACACAATAGAAACAGAAGGTACATTGTCAAGCTCTTTTTATTGAGTTACAATAAATCTGATACCCAAACCACACAAAGATATTTATTTATTTATTTATTTATTTATTTATTTATTATGCATACAATATTCTGTCTGCGTGCATGCCTGAAGAGGGCACCAGACCTCATTACAGATGGTTGTGAGCCACCATGTGGTTGCTGGGAATTGAACTCAGGACCTTTGGAAGACGAGGCAATGCTCTTAACCACTGAGCCATCTCTCCAGCCCCCACACAAAGATATTAAAGAAAGAGAATTACAGAACAATCTCACTCATGAACATTGATGCAAAAAAGCTCAATAAAATACTAGCAAACCGAATTCAAGAACACATCAGAAACATTATCCACCATGATCAAGGTGAGTTTATCCCAGAGATACAGGGATAGTTCAACATATGAAAATCTGTCAATGTCATCTGCCATATCAACAAACTGTAAAAAAAAACACATGATCTTCTTATTAGATGCTGAAAAAGCCTTTGACAAAACACAACACCCTTTATGATAAAAGTCTTGGAGGGAGCAGGGATACAAGGAACATACCTAAACACAATAAAGGCAATATAAAGTAAGCCAACAGCCAACATCAAACTAAATAGAGAGAAACTCAAAGCAATCCCACTGAAATCAGGAACAAGACAAAGTTGTTCACTCTCTCCATATCTACTCAATATAGTACTTGAGGTTCTAGTTAGAGCAATAAGAGAACAAAAAGAGATCAAGGGGATACAAATTGGAAAAGGAGAAGTCAAACTCTCACTATTTGCTGATGATATGATAGTTTACATAAGTGACCCCAAAAATTCTACCAAGAAACTTCTACAACTCATAAACACCTTGAGTAATACAGCTGGATACAAGATTAACTAAAAAAAAAAAATCAGTAGCCCTCCTGTACACAGATGATAATCAGGCTGAGAAACATTACTGCAATGGTCTGTCCTGTCTCTTTAAGAGACAAGCCACGCCTCCAATGTCCCCCCAACACTCCCCCGCCCCGTGCGAATCTGCATGTCTCCCAGGCCAGGACCAGCCACCTTGAGAGACCAGCGTGGTCTCCTGGCATGCCCATCTGTCTGTCTCTCTTGTGGCCTGCTGCAGCCACTCCTTGGGACTGGCTGCTCTTGGGACCTGTTGCCTGCTGCCACCTGGCCCATTGCTGCTGCTCTTGGGACCCGCTGCCTGTGGCCACCCCTTGGTGACCTGCAGCGTTTCTGCCACTGCAGACCCTGGGGATCCTGCAGCAATTTTAATTAATTCATTAGACATTACTCTTCACAATAGCCATAAATAACATGAAATGTCTTGGAGTAACTCTAACCAAACAAGTGGAAGACATGTATGACAAAAACTTTA